ATTAAAAAATTCAGAGTAAATTTAAGTTTAACTCAAAGAAAATTATTCTATATCATCTTCTTAAGATTAAGGAAAACTAGAATAATAATTAATTAATAAATAGTATGAAATAGAATAAATAAGTGTTGAAAATAAGAAATTGAATAATAAACTTATTGATAACTAAAATTTAATTAGAAAATTACAATAAGAATTAATGGCGTATGGAAATGATAAATAAAAATTATAATTTTAACATCAATCAGATATTTCTACCCTTTAAAACTAAATTAAGAATATGCAATAATAACTCTTAGATCAATAAGAAATAAAAAGATCATCAGAATCAATTCCTTAGAAAATTGAAATTAATTAAACCAATTAGACTTTGAATTCTCCAAAAACTAAAAATATAAGTAAGAGTCTAAATAAATCTAATATTTCTTTCCATTCAACTGATGATATAAAAGGTAAATATTATAATTGTTCACTATATACTACAAATAAGAATGGATAAAATTATTACACATCTCTAAGAGCTGTAAAATCAAAAGGTGATTTATTGGCTTCTCAAGAAAATAGTCAAGCAAATACACAAGAAGAGTTAAAGAAATAAGTTAGTCTTTGGTAATCAAAATATGAAGAATTACTAAGAGACAAATACTCAAAAACATATATGATTACTTCTAAATCAAATAAATAAATGGAGGAACCAATTGTTTAAATTGAAAGTGTAAATTGGAAATCTAAATATGAGTAGTTATAAGAATAAATTTCAAATTCAAATACAAAATAAAATTAAAATGAAAAAATAATTGAATAATTAAGAATTAATAATGAAATGCTTAATTCTTAGTTATATCAAATTTAAACTGATTATCAATAACTAAAAACAGAAATTTCAATTAGTTAAAAAAGTGATTTTAATTAGAATAATTAGAATTCATAAAGAATTATTGATTAATAAAATTTAAAGATTAAAAATTAAGAAACAGAAATTGATTAATTAAGATAAAAGATAAAATAATACGTTGAGAGTAAGAATAATTAAGAAAAGAAATCTAGTAATTAATAAAATGAGTATTTAAAGTAATTGGAAACTGAAAATTTTGATTATTAATAAGAAATATAATCTTTAAGAATTGAAATTAAAAGATAATAAGAAAAAAATAACCTCATAAATTAACAAATAAATGATCAAGACATAAATTTAAAATCTGGACAAGCAAATAATGAAATAAATTTAGAAGAATATTAATAATAGATTGAATTATTACAAAATGAGATCAATATTTAATAGAATTAAATATATTCATTATAAAATTAATTAAAATAATCAAAAATTAGAGAATTAGAGTTAGAATAAAAATTAAAATATACAATTGAGGATTTAGAATATGTTTAACAACAAAAATAATAGTAATAATAATAATAGTAATAATAATAATAATAGTAATAATAATAATAATAATAATAATAATAATAATAATAATAATAATAATAATAATAATAATAATAATAATAATAATAATAATAATAATAATAATAATAATAATAATAATAATAATAATAATAATAATAATAATAATAATAATAATAATAATAATAATAATAATAATAATAATAATAATAATAATAATAATAATAATAATAATAATAATAATAATAATAATAATAATAATAATAATAATAATAATAATAATAATAATAATAATAATAATAATAATAATAATAATAATAATAATAATAATAATAATAATAATAATAATAATAATAATAATAATAATAATAATAATAATAATAATAATAATAATAATAATAATAATAATAATAATAATAATAATAATAATAATAATAATAATAATAATAATAATAATAATAATAATAATAATAATAATAATAATAATAATAATAATAATAATAATAATAATAATAATAATAATAATAATAATAATAATAATAATAATAATAATAATAATAATAATAATAATAATAATAATAATAATAATAATAATAATAATAATAATAATAATAATAATAATAATAATAATAATAATAATAATAATAATAATAATAATAATAATAATAATAATAATAATCTAAAATAGTTCAAACTCAAATAGAATAAAACAATCAATATGATGATTAATATCAAAAGATTTTATATGAACTCAGTTTGATAAAATCATAAAACTCTTCTTTGTAAGCTTAATTATAAGAATCAACCAAAACTTAAATTAAATTAATGTAAGAGATAAAAGAATTATAAATTTAAAATGAAAGATTAAATTTAAGCAATGTTAGGCTACATAATGAACAATCAAAAGTAACAGATCAGAGTAGTTAGGTAAATAGATTAAATGACTTGTATAAAGAAGTATAAATCGAAAATTAGAAATTGAGAAGTGAGATTTCATACCTACAATAAGAAAAGTAATAAATTATAATTTCATTTGAATCAAAATTATAATAATATTCATCAAGTGCTAATAGCAAAATTAGATAATAATAAATTGAGGATTTAAAACGAGAGTTAGCTTAATTAAAGAGAGCTACATTAAAGTCTTCTGGAGCAGATATGGAAGCAGAAAGATTGACTTACTCAACATAAATAACTTAGTTGAAAAAATAACTTGAATATGAATAGATTAAGAATAAAGAATTGCAGTAAAAGCTTTAAAGTTATTAATAATATTAAGTAATATATTTAAATTATTCTAGTCTGATTTTGGACTTGTAGAGAGATTGAATAAAGAACTATAAGATAAAATAGTTGAATTACATTAAGTTAAATCAGAGTATAAGAATGCTATATAAATGATCCATTAATTAGAAGAATAAGTAATAGAGAGAATGGAAAAAGAATAATATTGTTGAAATATTTTGTAGACTGTTATAATAGTGATTTATAAAGAATAAATAATATTTTCATTTTTATATTTATTAATGTTATTGCCTTATAATCTATAGTCGCTATTGTGATTATGATGGACTAATGGATGTATTGGTAACATTATTCAAAATTTATTATTTCGAGTTAGATTAGATAAGTTGTTTTGGTTATTGCTATATTTTAGAATTTGGAGACTTTTTTTGACCAACAACTTCACATTTATCAGCAGATTATAAACAAATTTATTTCAATTTATTTTTAATTTAAGTAGAAGAAGTCGTATTACTATTTTAAGGTTACTTTGAATTACTATTATGTAAAGTTGCTGTGGCAGTTTTATTAACGCTTTTTTCTATATTGACAGTTGAATTACTCTTCATAAAGGCACTTTTAGCAAATTGTTAATTTAAGAATTACTATTAACTTTATTGTTTTTTTAATGCATCAGATCTATTACTCTAAATGTTTTAAATAAGAGATTTTTATTTGTTTACTAGAGTTAAAATTTTAGTCAAATCTAAATTTTATTTATATAATAAATCTCTATATTAAGAGACTGGATACTATTTATCATCTTGTAATTTTAAAACTAATTATCCTTTAAATGTAATTTCCTCTTTTGGATTATAAAATTCTTTAAGATAAGGATGCCTTAAAGCATCTTATACACAAATTCTCTTATTAGGATCATAGACTAAGAGTTTTTTAATGAGATCTAATTCATCATCATCACAATTCAAAATTGCTTTCAAATTAGACTTATAATTTCTAGGATATTTATCAAATAATTAATTTTAACCTCCTAAACTCTAAATTTCTTCTGATGTTGGTATACCTAGAACTTCTATTATCTTTTCTAATTGATTTATTGTAGATATTCCTGAGAACAAGGCCTTTCCAAGTATCATTTCTCCAATCATGCAACCTATAGACCACATATCTACTCCAAATGAATAAGATTTTGATCCTAATAAAATTTCAGGAGCTCTGAACCATCTTGTTGCCACATAATCTGTTAATATATCTTATTCTAATGTACAAACCATTCTAGCTAAACCAAAATCTGCTAATTTTATTTTACATTCTGAGTCTAATAAAATATTTGCAGGCTTTAAATCTCTAGATAGTTACAAAATAGAATTAATACCTGTGTATCATCCCAGAAGAATGAATATATTTTAGAGCTTTAAATAACTAATATATGATATATCTTCTGTGAAGAGGTTGTAAGATTTTGGCTCGAATGGCAATGTGAAGATCAGTTTCCATATATTCAAAAATCAAATAAAGGTCATTTTGATTTTCTGCAGGAAATGTATCTATTAATTGAATAATATTAGGATGATTTAGTTGTTTTAAAAAGCTAACCTAGAATAAAAGATTTATTTATACTTCTCTATACGTTCGTTAGGCATCAGTTGGATTACTAAAAGCATCAAATACTTTCTTTAAAGCAACTATACGTTGAGATTTTATATCTCTTGCCTTCCAAACTATTCCATATGCTCCTTTTCCTATCTTATTCATTATTTCATATTTCTTTAAAATATTAGTATCAATTTTTTCACTCATAATTTTTTTATATTTTATTTACTTTCAAATTATAACAATTCATATCAAAAATAGTTATAAAGTATAAATATGATAATTTCTTTTAAATTAATAGTTAATGAATTCATTAAGATGAATTGTCATTTTTTTTAATTAATTAGAGGATAAAATTAATGTAGAACTCTAATATATATAAATTAAATTCTATTTTTATGAAACATTTTCAAACTAAAACTTAAAATATATATTTTAGTATAAATGCTAACATTTTTTGAATATGAAGATTATTTAATTTTTCAATATAAAATTAAAATATGATATAAAAAAATAATTAATCTATTTATAATATTGTTTCAAATCTATTTCTTTCAAAAGAACCGAATCAAAAAAATATTGATATTTTCATGAAGTTTTGAATGCAATAATAATTCAATATTAAATTTAAATTATCATATTGAAGTTTTATTGTTGTTTATTTTTAGGATTTTTTCAATTAAGGAGTTATATCAAATTAAATGTAGAGTATTTTGTTAATAAATGAATAGATATATAACTCGATATAAAATAATCAAGAAAGAACTCATTTAGAGTGGTTTTTGATATATTGGTTCAGAATTTAGGTTCTTGTTTGTTTTAGAAGAGACTCCATCTAAGTAATGATTGTTTTTAGTCTTTAACATTGTTAAAGTTTCAAAAAATCACTATTTGATATACGAGGTTTTGATCTTTTGCCTTATGAAACATCAGTTTCAGAATCAGCCTTTTTTACTTTTTTTGATTTTCTGTTAATGAGTTTAGATTTTTTTTTTGGAGCTTCTTCAGCAAAATTAAATAAAAGGACAGGTTCCTCTTATAAGTATCCATCAAAAGTAATTAGTTACTCTGGTTCATGTAACATACTTTGATCATAATCGAAGTACATTTATTATTCTGATGATTCTACTTATGGTTCTTCAACTAATTCTAGAAATTATAAAAATGAGTACCTTATTAATACTATTCTTCAAAATCTATAGAGTAGAAATTCATAGAAAATTATGAATTGTTTTTATTATTTATTAGAAATTCTTTGATTTCAACTTAAAAGTGAATTGCGTTTATTGTGAAATATTTTCAGTTTATTTATGTTTATAGGATGATGATATATTTAAAAATTTATTATAGTTAAATAATGTAGATGATAAGAAGTCATTATTTTTTATTAAAGCTGCACTTCTAAGCTATAAATATTTTATCGATGATTTCAAAAATAAAATTTTATTTTTTTATTTTTTAATATCTTTATTATATTATATTATTATATTTCAATTTTAAGGCTTTCCATTAAAAAAATACTAAAGTTTTATATGTTATCTGTTAAAGTACTTTGATTGAAATGAATAAATTGTAATTATTAAGTTAAATAAATTAAACTGTTTACAATTTTCAAATAGTAATATTAAATTAATTTCTCGAACTCTCTGTAAATTCAAACTAGAATTGTTTATTAATATTTAACATACAAACAGTTTAGATTTAACTTTAGTTATAGTTTTTTATAATTAACTTTTGCTGATAAAAGATTAATTGAAAAAATATCATGAAGAGCTTATATGAGAATTTTAGATGATTTTATTAGAAATACAAAAATACATGATATAAAAGTGAAATGAAAAAATATGTAAATAAAATTCATCTATCAAGTTATGTTCGTTGTAATAAATTTGTAAAGGTTGGAATGTTTTTAAGTCTTTCAGATCTTTTTTCATTTTTTTCATTTTTTTCTTTGCTGTTTTGCTTCTTTAAAAAAATTTCTTATTAAAATTTATTCATGATAATTTGATATTCTTTAGTAATTGATTCCATTGATTCTTATTATTGATGTTGAGAATTATATTATTTCTGTGAATTAATGTAGGAATACTACGTATGATTTTATTAGATTTCCATTTTTACACAATTAATTTTAATGAGTTAAGAAAATAAAGAAGAAATAATTAATCATATATTAAAAGCCACAACATTTTGTTCAAAGAAGTGTGAAACACTAAAAGTTGATTAATTTAAAGGAAAAGAGACAGAATGCTTAAGTATTATGTTTTAATATTTAATCTAGTTTAATGTGGTTATGGTTTTGCAGCTTCAATTCATTATTAAGGATAATTCATGAAGTATTTGATGGAGCAAACTGAAGGGATGGATGAATGAATATTATTTCTTAAAAATTTAATATAATTATCCTATAAACTAAAAATAAATAACTTGAATTTAGATTTCATAGTATTTCACAAAGTAATTTTATCAAATAAGAGATTAAAAACTAAAATGAATTTTTATAAATAATGTATAAGAATATATTTTCAATAAATATGAAGCTGAAATTGGAATACTAAATTAAATTATTAAATTATTGTTTAAGAATAGAATATTGAGCCTTCTAAAAAGCTAGAAAAATGCTCTAAATTAAAAAAAAAGATGTGAAAATATAATAATATTTAAGTTTGAATATAGGAAATCTATAGTTCTATTTAAAAATGTGATAATAAGCTATTTTATATGAGATAAATCATCTATAAGATTTTAAACTAGAGGGGAAAAAGTTTCTTGAATAATTAGGGCTTGAATAGGTTTTCTAGTGAGATTTAATATGTGCACTTTATTTTGGTGTTAGACTTAAGTTAGATATAGTTGTTGATTGATTGGAATTAAATTATTATCGATACCAAGCATTCACATCAAATGTATCATCTTAAATCATGGATTTAATTAAATATAAAGCTTAATCACTGCTTAATCTTTCGAGAGGATTTTATTGAAGTAAAGTTCTGACTAAATCAAATAGTCTTCCTTATTCTTTTATGATAAATAAACAGTTTCTATTTTTTTTTAATACTTCAGCAGATGTATCAGCATCAAACAAACCTTTAGATGTTAAAATTTTGTATAGAACACATCCAGCACTAAAAACATCAACTTTGTAATCATAAGAAATATTATTATCAATATGTTGTAAAATTTCAGGAGCACAGAAACCTGAAGTACCACATTTAGGATTTTCTTAAAGTTAATTACCAATAAAGCATGATAATCCAAAGTCAATTATTTTTAATATACCATTGTTATTAATCATTATATTAGCAGGTTTGATGTCTCTATGAATAATACCCATATTATGAATATATACAAGTCCTTCAAATAATTACTAATTAAATAATAAAATATATTACTTTTAACAATTATAGAATAGTTAATTCCTAGAATTCTTATGTTTCTGTGATATATTTCTTAAGATTCCTTCCTTCAACAAATTCAGTAATAATGGAGTATGTAAGATTTGTAAGGAAAACTTCCTAAATTGATAAAATATTAGGGTGGTTCAGTGTCCTTAGGATCTTTATTTCATTTTCGATTTAATATAAAACAGACTTATTAGTGTTAATTAATGTTTTAATAGCAAACATGTTTCCAGTTATGTAATTTTATTATAATGAAATCTATCTTTAGAACAATAAAATACTTAACCGAAAGTCCCTGAATCTAAATTTCTAATCAATTTATAGTGTACTGTAAGAGATTTAAAAAGAATTAATTTACCAAGTATTTATTTTAACTCATTAAGATTTTATGAATCGCCATAAAACTCTTTCATTTTATTCTAATAAGGGAATAAGAATCCAACTAATTGTTGGTTTTTAATAATCCATTCAAATTCGATTTTGGGATTCAAATCTAAAATATATTTTGTTTTCACAAATTGTCTTTCCTATTTATAAAATAAAATTATAATTTACATGACTCATCAATATTTATTTCTTTGTTAATTTTAAATAATAGGTTTAATCACGAAAAAAGTGTTTTCTAAAAACAGAAAAGAGAAGAATTTATTAATCTTTTTATATGCAATTAATTTACATTTAATATTAATTCAACATAAAATTAACAAAAGAATTTTAAATTACAATATAATTGATCTATTAAAGAAGAACATTATTGGAATTTTCTTAAATTTCTTATATAATATTCTTATTCCAAGAATATAACTTTACAAGAAAAATAATGACTTTAATATTTGTTGTTCCTTAAAAGGAATAAATAATAATAATATTAACCTAAGATTTTAAATTAAATTAAAAACAATAATAATTAAATACTATGAAGTATTCTAAAATTTTCATATTATCCATAAATATGATTATTCAAAGAATAATAAGATATTAGAATGATGATATACTATTTTAAATATATTTCTTTTTTTTTGATATATATAAATATAAAAATTTATTTTACACAACACTTGAATAAATTTACTCATTTGTTTCTTCTTCTTTATGCTTAGGCTTATTCTTATGCTTGTTAAATATTTGCATTTAATTATTGGGGATCAGCCTGAGAAGTGAAGAAAAAGACAATAAATCCAATAATTATATACCATTTCTAAAGATAAAATAGAGAATTTTACATATTATAAAATTAATCCAAAGAAACCTTAAGGTTTTTATTATTCTTCTTCTTCAGGAAATTTTTCTTCAAATTGTGGTACTAATCCTTATGGAGCTACTTCAAATTCTTTAACATTGACTTGAATATAGGTTTCACTATTTTTCCTTACAGGCTTTAATGAATAATCAAATGATAACAAATCATTATTAGATAAAACTAAAGTAATAATTTCTTAATAATTGGATTTCTAATTAAAAAGAGATAATTATTTTCCATCAATATGTGCTGTATATGATTTTTCATCTTGCTAATTCTATAATTTTAATAGAGCATAATTATTCTAGATATAGACATTTAATATTTACTTCATTAATTTTTTTACGATCTAAAATTTGCTAATTATTTTAATTCAAGATGATCTGAGCATTTTAAAAATTAGATCTAGGTATTTTCATTTCACCAATCTTTTCCCATTTTTAAGAATTTGAATTTTTTATCAATAAAGCGTAATCAGTCTATTAAGAAAGTGTTGTAAAAGCGAGAACCAATAATAATATAAATTACATATAATTATTAATTATTAATTAAATAAATTAAGTAAACATTAAACTTTTTTGTTGTGACGTATTGCAAATAAATGTACATTACGCAATTTTATTATATGAATCTATAAAGCCATCTTGCTCTACCCACTATATTTATTAATTAATGAAGCTCCTTATATCAATCATTCTTATATCTACAGTTTTAGCAGTAATTCCAACAAAAGTGACAAATTGCATAGCTAATCCATCAGTTATATTTACAGAAGCGACATTGAGTGTTTAACCATAAAAAGGAGTTGATGAAACTATTACTCTTTATGGAACAGCAAATACTCATGTTGAATTAGCTAACGTATAATTAAAAGCTAAATGGAATGGAGTAGACGTCTTCCAAGAGGATTTCCCAGAAGATGAAATTTATGAGAAGGATGATAAAGTTGTTTATTCATTGACATAGAATTTCCCAACTTATACTCCATCAGTAAGATATTTTAGTAATATAGGGTAAAATCACCACTTAATTTTATTTCTAGAATGCCAAAGGAACAAACTTTGGATGTGCAGAAATATCAATTGTTTTGTGAACATAAATTCACATTTCATAATTTAAATTTAATCTAATCATTTTTTTTTAATATTAGTGAATTCATTTTTAATAATCATTTATACATAAATAGAACTATCAGAAATAATGATTTTCTTTGACATTCTATTTTTAAGTAAAACTCAATAAGCTTTATAGTTCTACTAATGGAAATTAATATTCATTTGAGATAAGGTCCCAATTTAATTGTTTTGATTCTAAATCATTTTTATTATCGAAACTTCAGTATTCATTAAATAAATTAGATTACTTTTTATTATGGTTTTCTGTTTCTATCACTTTTTCAATTGTATTTAAAGTATAATTATTTTAATTATGATTCAATACTAAGACTGATTCTCATAATAACTATTTTTTATATTTCACTTACAAAAAATTATAATATTATAAATTGTAGAGATAGACTTTTAGAATTACAAAAAATATATATATAATATTATATATATAAATACAAATTTCATAACATAGAATCAATATATTATTAAAGTAATTTAAGTTATTCTTTTATAAATTATCTACATTCCTAAATTGAAATCTCTTTTCTTTCATAACATTTAGAAACTAGATAAAGAATAATTTTATTTGGCATATCTTGAGAGATTGTTAGGTTGAGCTTTAATGCTTCATTAATCCATTTAGCATTAGTATTCATAGATTTTACATCATCTTAATATTGAATATATTCTTGTCTTAGATTTCGATGATGTTTAATCACAATACTTCTCAACTCTTATACTAGCTTTTCTTTTTCCTAAAATAAATTAAATTAATTGAGATAACTAAGTGCTTCTATAATAATTTCATTTTAAGAAAAATAAGAATCAACTGAAAATGAATTTAATTCAAAATTAGTTTATAATAAATAGGATTGAAATTCTTATTGATCAAAAATGCCATAAATTTATAAGCATTTTTAACATGCATTAGTAACAGCATTATCATTAATACCTGGCATCCTATATTTGACAGGTTAATGATGAAAAGGACATTCTTCAATTTAAGATTAAGAATCATTTGAATAAGTAGGTAATTAAAAATTTTGTGTTTATTCACATAGAGTTGATTAAGAAACAAGTGAAATATCTGCAAAGATATATCTATCATTATTTGTATTTTATTGTATTTCAAAACTACTTGGACTTTATAAATAGTATTCAGAAATAGTTTAAATAATCCAATTTAGATCTTTTCTTAATTTAGGGTCCTTTTAAATACAATTTTATAATAGACTTTTTATAACATTTTTCTTATGATCAAATATAGTAGCCTATGAGTATTATTAATCTCTAATAATGTAATTGGTAGTTTTAATTTTAAAGAATACTTCTTCTTCAGACATTCCATTATAAAATGGTGTCTTGTGAAGTAATTCATCAATTATAAGTCCAAGTGCCCAAATATCAACAGATTTATCATATTATTATTTATCAAGAATCTCTGGAGCAACATAATAAGCAGTTCCTACTTTAGTAGTAGTCATTCTATCTAATTTCACACTGCTTAGACCAAAATCAGTGATTTTAAAGATTTCCATACCTTATTCATCAATTTATCTAAGAATATTTTCTGGTTTAATATCTCTATGAACTATATTTTTACTATGTAAGAAAGCTAATCCATGAGCTACTTGCAAAGCTATATTAACAATTTATTCTTCTGTGAATATTTTATTTGACATCATTTCATATAAGGTACCACCTGAACAGTATTCTTGTACTATAAATAAGGCTTCTTGTTAATCGAATATATCCAATAATTAAACTACATTTTAGTGTCGATATTGTGAAAGTTATTTGAGAATCATTTTCTCTTATTAAGAAATAGCAAGATTTCTATTGCTAATTTTAACAGCAACCTTCTATTTATTCGATTTTTTAACACCCAAATAAACTTAAGCAAAAGCACCCTATCCTAACAATTAGTTTTTTGTTTCATATAAATCCTCATAACGATTTCTCATTGATTATGGTTAATTTATTTTTATAATAATTATTAAACAATTTACATTATTTTATACATATTATATTCATTATACAGTTTATACAGCTAAACGAATAAGATGATCTGTAAATACTTTAAGACTGGCATCATCTGTAATATAATTACCACTTTCTACATTTTCATTCTGAACTGTATTTACTGATGGATTCACTCTACTTTTTAAATATCTTTCTTATCCATGTCCAAAATAAGTTTTTATCAATTTAGGAACAGGGAATCTATCTTCTAAAATATACTTAAAATATTAGAATTTATGAATACCTATACATCAGAATTAGGAGAATCTATTAATTCTTTAACATATTCATATTCAGGATTATCATAATATCCTTCTTCAATCCATTTTTATACATTTTCTCCATTCCATACAACAACATTAAAGTAAGTATCCAAAAGTAATACAACATCAGGTTTCATACTTTAAATGTCTAAATTAACAGCATTAGCAACTGGATCATCTATTGTATATTATAACAAAGCAGGTTAAATCATAACTAAAGCATTTTATACACTTTCTCGAGATAAAGAAGCCTAAATATATTATATAATTTACTCTATAAAAAGTAGTTTCATCAGGTGAAGCACCAAATGTAGTGATGAAATGAGATCTTCTGAGATGATACATAAATTATGGATACATCATCATTTCTTATGGAAATCTAAATGAACTTACATCATCTTTTCTATATGAACCAAATCTTGCAACAACTCTAATTAATGATCTATCTAACCACTTTAAAACTTCAATTGATTCTTCTTATTCTGCTTTCAAAATACCTACTCTTGCCATAGTAACACAGGCAGCTTCTTAATCAAATCCTCTAATCATATCCATAATATTATTGTGATCTGCAAATCTTCTTTATATTGTAGTTACTCTTAATCTTTACAATCTACTTGAGTGTCTATAAATTGTAACAAATTATATATAAGCATATTATGAAAAATTAGTGTCTTTTGTAGATGATAAATCAAACATTAATAAAATTGTAGAATTTCTATCCAAACCACCTGTATACCAACTTGTTGTACCACCTTCTCCTAAAGATACTTCAGATACCATAGGACCTCCTTTTTTCAATGAAATGCATGGTCCTACTCCTCCTTAGACTTTAATATCTTTTGATACAAATATATCCATTTTAGATCCAAATCCCATCTTTAAAAAACCAGAACTATCTTTATCAAATAATTTTTTATAAGTTTCTCTGAACATATCAGAATCAAATTTCTCTTACATAACAACTACTCCACCTGTTTTCTCTGCTAATTATTTCATTTCCAATAGACCAAATTAATCTAAAGTAAATGCAAATATATCAACTGTCATATTTGCTTTTATAGCTCTTTATGCAATTTCATTATAAAATTTCTTAGCCTTTTATAAATATTATGTATTTGGATTTTCTTTTTATATATCCAAATATGATCTAATAGTTTCTTCTAATTTCAATCCTACTACTTATCCTGGACCTATTGTACAAGGTCCACCTACAAAAAAGAGAATTTTAGAGAATTGTGTAGCACTTTCAACTAATGTTGAACCTATTTTCAATGCTGAACCATTTGCTCTGACTTCTCTCTCTCCTGGTTATGTTGTCCATGGATCACATTAAAGATCATCTAAAATAGAATTAAATGAAAATTCGCATTCACTTAAAGGTACTAAGAATCTTTTCAAAATTTCTGGTTTTGTACTTACTTATAACATTTCCAATATTTATTAGGTAGTATAATCTTTTGACCCCTTAAAACTATAACATTTAGGACATTCTTAAAATCCTAATTCATGTATAAACACATTTCTTCCAAATGTAATAAGTCCAACCAAAGAGTCTGGTGGAATGATAGACAAACTCTGTTAAATTGAGTCTCTTATAGCTTATAAATCCTCTTAAGGTATGCAAGTATCAATAATATATAAGAAAGTTGTTGGTGCAGCTTATTAATTAGCTAATATATATTCAATAGTAGTGCTAGTCTTCTTTAATTCAGCTGGTAATTGTGTTTCTGTTATGTGATCAGCATAATGTTTTGGGAACATATTTTTAGAAGTACAAAATACACATGTCCATTATTTATTTCTAAAATCTATTTGATTATATGGATTTAAAACTGCACCACATTTACAATAAAGTGGAGAATATTAAACTAATACTAATGATTCTAAATCCTTCATAGGAGCTTATATTAATTATTTTCTATACTATATAAACATCCAATTGGAACAATTGCTCTAGTACTCTACAATTTTGTTGCTGGTAATGTATTCCAAGATAATCTCACACCATCTTTGTATTCTTCTTAATAAAAATCAATAGGTTGTATTTGTTATTGTTATCCTTGAGGTTATTACATTGATTAATATTTTAATTTTTTTTAATTGTTAACACGTAATTAAGAATTATAAGGATGTAATATTAAATAATAAATATACACATAGAGTAAATTTCATTAATAATCTATATTTGATATGATGTAAATAAAACAACAAAGTATTAAAATTATTTTTTATATATAATATGATAAAGTGTGTAAAATCTGTGGTCAAATTTAGTGGCAATATTATAGCAGCTATTGGTTTAGTTATATTATGTTTTGGACTTTTTGTGTTATACAATGAAGTCGGATTAGATTATTAAGGTATTAACTAAATTTTTAGAAATAGATCTATATTATAATTCTGCAGATTGGTTAAAAACATTACAAGAATATGGGTTTATTATTATAGGAACTGTGATCTTTTTAATTGGTTGTACAGGAGTACATGGAGCAAGGTAAAAGCCAAAATGTTAGAAGACTTGCTTAATGATTTATTAAATTGGAGCTATAACATTTTTTATGATATGTACAAGTTTAGCTATATTCACTTTGTTATATTCAAATGATATTTTTGGAAAAGGTAATCAATTAAATATTTAATAACTTTTAGAATGTAAAGGTACTGTCTACTTTGAGGAAATAGATTCTCAAATCAAATTAGCAGATTAACTCTTATGTTCAAGTTAATGTTAATGTTATATCACTTAAGAAACTTTAAATCTTAATTAAAAAGCCTTTGCAGGAAAAAACTATACAACTAAAGAAGATCTTGAAATAAAAATAAAATAGGTCTAAAAATGTCCATCATACTAAATTGATTAATATGCTGCTTCTGCTTAAGTTATGTAGGCAGCTGAAAAATTATTACATTGTAGTGGATGGTGCAATCCTACAAAATATTATATTTTTAGTGATATCAATGATAATTCAAATGAAGGATAGAGTTGTTTTAAGGAAACAAAGTATTTTGTAGAATCAACAGGAAAAATCATGGGTTATATATTATTAGGATTAGGAATATTGTTTGGTTTGAATGTTTTTTTAGTGATCCTATTATGTTGTAAAAAAGAAAATAGAAATAGAATTGATTATCTCATGTATGAAACTTGAAGTCAATTTTCAATTTATACTTTTATAAATCTTTATAAATTTATCTAATAATTCTTTTATTTAAAGAATAGATTATTTACATTATATTCCTTGTAATCTCAGTTTAGAATTTCAAATTATATAACCTATTATTAAATTAATATTAAAATTATAAATAATAATTAATATTTCTAAATTTAGACCTTATTAACTGGATATAAATTTGAATAATGATGTATATAAATAAAGTATAAGTACACATAATATATCATTGCATTTCTATATTTTACTCTACTTTTCCATTTTTTATTATATTTATCTTCTTTAAACTATCTTATTGTAAACTTTATAGTTATTTATAATCTTTATTCGGTGAACCTAATTTTTGAATTTTTATATTTCTCCTTAAAACTTTATCATAAATTGATAAATCAACTTGATCTGCTTAAAATACTTTATTATTCTGAATAATTAATTAACCGTATTACACTATTATTTATTCTGTTTTTTTAGACTAGCTTCAAGATTACTTTAACTTATACAATCATCTTTCAATTTCCACATTGAACAACCCATTTTATTTTATTAGAATTTTTATTACTCAAAAATTTGATAATTTCTTATCTAAATATTAGTATTTTGCCTTTACATTCTCTAAGTATATTATTTTATATGATCTAACCTAGTTATTCCATCTTTTTCTCCAATTCCTTAAATTTATAGATTAGTAGTATGTCTTAATGACCACTCATTTACCTTTAATTTAAATAACCGTAATTATTTATTTAATGATATCACACATGGTAGAGTAGATTTAAGCATACATTTTCTTTCTCATTCTAACTCAATTAAATAATTCGCTTTTACGTTTTTGTTTTAACCTCTAGATTTATACTTTTTTAATTTGTAAACTCAAATGAAAATAAGTAATAGAACCAGGCACTTTTTCTAATCAGAGACTCTAACTAATTTTAGTTTTTTTTTCTATGTTATTAACTTAGATTTGATAAATTATCTTAACTAAATCTTATTATTTATTTAATTTAGAATCGTTTATTCTTTATTAATTATTCATTTTTTACTTTATGCAATTTTTTAATCTAAAAGCTTAAAATAACCTAATTCATGTGAAATTAAAAAATCAATACCAGATACCTTAAACTTAAAATTGTCTATCTAATAGACTTATGAATGAATGCAAAATAAATAATTAGACTACAAGATGCAGTATCTTAATAAATATTTAATTCCTAATACATCTTTTTAAAGCAAACACAACTAACGAAATAATTGTTCTAATTACGGAGGGCAAATTGATTTATCATCAACTTAAAAATAAATTAACTATCTAAAAAAATTGATTAATTTAGATCCTTAAATTGAATTTTCAGCCAATAAGCAATAGAACATATTTTATCTAAAATTAAAGGATTTTTTATTTCCTTATGGTTGTATTTAGTCACCTATTAACGTTTCCAAAACTTCACTTTATATATTTTACCTTAAAACCGATTTGTGATTTAGAACAAATTATTAAAAATCAAATGGTGAGAACAATCAGATTAATATCAAAATCATTTAAAGAAATTAAAAAAATGAATACAAAATCATTTACTTCCTAACACACTTAGAATATATATATATTTTAATCTAATCGTAATAATAATTCATATAATATTATTTTGTAAATAATTTATTGAAATAGGTTTTCAAATGTAATAAAACAACTATAGGATCTATCGTATAGTGGTTAGTACCTGAGGCTTTAACCCTCAAGACCTTGGTTCGAATCCAAGTAGGTCCTTTTTTTATTTTTATAATTTATTAATTATAAATTAAAATTTTAATTCTAATTTATGTTAATATTTGATTTTTACTTTATTGATTTCATATGTATGTTTATTATAAGTATAGGATCTATCGTATAGTGGTTATTACCTGAGGCTTTGAATCTCAAGACCTTGGTTCGATTCCAAGTAGGTCCTTTTTTTATTTTTATAATTTATTAATTATAAATTAAAATTTTAATTCTAATTTATGTTAATATTTGATTTTTACTTTATTGATTTCATATGTATGTTTATTATAAGTATAGGATCTATCGTATAGTGGTTATTACCTGAGGCTTTGAATCTCAAGACCTTGGTTCGATTCCAAGTAGGTCCTTTTTTTATTTTTATAATTTATTAATTATAAATTAAAATTTTAATTCTAATTTATGTTAATATTTGATTTTTACTTTATTGATTTCATATGTATGTTTATTATAAGTATAGGATCTATCGTATAGTGGTTATTACCTGAGGCTTTGAATCTCAAGACCTTGGTTCGATTCCAAGTAGGTCCTTTTTTTATTTTTATAATTTATTAATTATAAATTAAAATTTTAATTCTAATTTATGTTAATATTTGATTTTTACTTTATTGATTTCATATGTATGTTTATTATAAGTATAGGATCTATCGTATAGTGGTTATTACCTGAGGCTTTGAATCTCAAGACCTTGGTTCGATTCCAAGTAGGTCCTTTTTTTATTTTTATAATTTATTAATTATAAATTAAAATTTTAATTCTAATTTATGTTAATATTTGATTTTTACTTTATTGATTTCATATGTATGTTTATTATAAGTATAGGATCTATCGTATAGTGGTTATTACCTGAGGCTTTGAATCTCAAGACCTTGGTTCGATTCCAAGTAGGTCCTTTTTTTATTTTTATAATTTATTAATTATAAATTAAAATTTTAATTCTAATTTATGTTAATATTTTGATTTTAATAAAACACCTCTTTTATTTTTATGAGTTCCAAAGCTAATAATATCGGAGATAATATAGCCTAATAATATATATTCCTCTTAAGATATCTTTCGATATAACATTGCTTTATGTTTTATCTTGACACTCTAATTTAGAATGTATTTTTATTTTTATTTATAAAGAGTGATTGTTTTGAATAGAGGATAAATATTTAGAATAATTTTAAAGGAAAGTTGATCTTAAATTTTCTAGTGATAATTCAATTTTGTGATTGTTTGATTAAATATTCCTTATATAAATTTTTTGTTATTATTCAGAGTTTAAAAATTAAAATTTAATATTTAGTGTTTAGATTATCAAACTTTTCATTTCATAATATTTTATTAATATTTTATTGTTATAAATGAATAAGAATTTGAATATAACACTTTTATACAGAGAAAATAATTATAGAGAAGAAAGGATGGTCTCAATATGATACAAGTTTCTTTTGAGTATTATTAAAAATTAATAATTATATTATCCAAATTATCTAAAAACCTTTTTTTTGAATAATAGTCTTCCTTTCTCAGAATAAAAGGTTTAGCTTGATATCAAAATTTTTTGACCTTTTTTTATTATTAATTCTCTTAGAATTTTTTTCAATATAATCTGTTTTACAATCATAGATGATGTTATTTATAATTTCTTCCTCCAATAGGAATTAATCAAATATATAAAGATCAAAGGTAGTTATTGTTGCATTCTAAAAAATTTCAAAATCAAATACTTTTCCTTTTATATATATAATTAAAATTTTAACATTAATAAATATGAATCACATAAAAGCTTTTGGTTTAGCAAAATGGGCAACCGGTGAGAAATTAGAGTTGATAGAAATGGAGGGAGAAGTTGGTCTTGTTTAAGATTTATCTGATACTCTTATGATTATTAAGACGAAAACAATTAGTTAATTTCAGAAGATGTAAGATTATTTTATTATTGAAAGAGATTCGTTGCCATCTAAAAAGGGAAGATGGTATTATATGCCTTTTAATAAAGAAATCATCCAACTTATTTTAGCAACACCAGATTGTAATCAAAATAATATTGAAATGCTTATTAGTGCCATTTAATCAAAAATTGTATTGATTTTAATATACTCTATTTAGTTGAATGGAAATATTATTCTTAATGACATTCAGAAGGATAATATCTTAAAGTTATTGAATTATTTCGAGAAACAATATAATAAAGATCCAAAATAAATCAAATAAATCATGTAGACATTAGATAATACTAAATTATCAGTATAACAAAATATTGAAAAACTAATCAATAATAAAGATTAATTAAGTCAAATTGAAAGTATATCTAATGTTATTTTAGTTAAATCTTTGGAATTGGAGGATACATCAAAAGTCTTTTACGATACAGCTAGTGCTGTTCATAGAAAGAATAGATTGAATAGATTAAAAAGAAGATTATTTATAGGAGGGATAACATTTATAAGTTTAAGTTTTTTATTTTATTGGATTTTTTATTGATCATATTACAAAAAATTAACAAATTATAAACACTATTTATTAAATACAATCAATTTTCTTCATTTTCTTATAATAATAATTTTGGAAGAGATTATAAGGATCTCTCATATTTGTTTCTATATTAAATAACAAATAATATTACAAACATTGTTCATTCATAAAACTAACTTCTGTTTTGATCATTTTACCATTATTATTTTGTGAGTGAAGACTCTTCATATTTCGAATAGAAAGATAGCTTTTATTACTTTACCTCATGGTTTTTTACATTTTCAATAAAAAGTTTTATTTTTTTTTTAAAGAATCACTAAATTATGTTAGTTAAAATTATAATGAATTTTTACTCACAGGTGAAAGAGCTGCTTCTGAAATACATTGAGAACTATACTATATAAAATTACTATCCATTTAATTTTAATCTGTTTGTTAGAATCTTTAAGAAGATTTAGAAAAGTTTAATTTAAAATTTTTAATTTCATTAGATAAGCTAAAGCCTTCTTAATGACGAGGTCTGTTGTATTGTAATTTCTTATTATTTATATAATATAATCTATCTTAACGTTCTTATATAGTTTATTATAATTCTGGATTTGTTATTATTAAATCTTAAGGAGATTTATCTTTATATTTTTATTAAAAAGTCTCTACTTTCTTTTTTATACTTTGTGAAAGTGTAAATAACTTTTTATTTCTAGATCTAAGAACTTTAGTTTATTCTTAATTCATTTATTATTATAAATCCAAACATTCATAAAAAGTTCTTTTATCTATTTTATTTAAAGGTTCTTTATTAATTTTATCTTAGTAATTTTATATACTCTTTACAACAGTTGTTAATCTTTAATTAATGTAATTCTTATTTTAAGTTGTAATATTTTTGAGAAGATTTATAATATCAGGAAAATTCTTTCTTATTTTTTTAAAAGCTTCAGCTTCTATAAATAAAGCTTCTGTATTATCAACACATTGACAATTATACTTTCTTTATGGAATGTCTTCTAATAATTCTTCTTATCCAACAAAATGTCCATTAGTGATTTGACTCAACTAATAATAATAATAATATTAATAATACCACAACTCTTTTTAATTTAATTGTAAATAGTCCTGGTATAGTTTTATTTTAAAGAATTTGAGAATCATCCAAATTTATATATATTTCAACTCTACCTCTCATAATTATTAATAAATATTATGGTTCTTATCCTTTTTCCCAAAGAATTGATTAAGAAACAAAAGATATTGGTCTTAAATTTTAAATAAATTTTGAAATACTGAATTGAGAAATACCATGTAAAATTCTTTGATATAATTCCATAGTTTTATTTTATTCTTGAATAGCCTTTTCACACATTTATTTATATTGTTATCGATTTATAGAGATACAATACATAACCTCTGAAATTACCAATAAACTTGCTGATCTTGGCTTATCAGATGTTAATGCAACATCACCAAAACATTAACCAGAGAAATATTAAAATACCTTTTTATTTATTATTATATTCATACTTTATGATACAGATATATTCCATTTTAATAGTAATTTTAATTGTTTCTATTTTCAAATAGAGCATCATCCTAAATAAGCATTTTCTTACTCTTCTTAATATTTTATAAATTTTATTCATTTTCAATATCATCTTTTGATTTTGGAACATAAACTCCTGCTTGTCCTTTTAAAATTATATACATTTTATCCCCAAACTCCCCATAATTAAAAATTATATGACCAAATGAAAAGGTTTCAAATTTTACATATTTTGCAGCTTATATCACAAAATCATGTAATTACATTCCTTCAGGACAATTATTTTTGAGAAATTGAATATGCATTAACGATTCAATTAATTCTGTAGTTTACAAAGATGGATTCATAAAATAATTAAGTGCTGGGGCCAACAAAGTTTCATTTTACTATTATTACTTTGTCAATAGTTCAGCTTGTTTATTTTTTTGATTAGATTATTTCATTTACTATTAATTATTTATACAGTATATAATCTAATTTAAAAATTTCATATTTTCACTTTTTTTAATGGTTTACATTCTTTTTCTAACCAATTAAAAAGTTAAGATTAATCTACATCCAATTAACAAACATGTTTAACTTCTCTTAAATATCTTTCTGCTTTATCGAATTCTCTAGTTTTCATATAACATACTATTATTCTATAGTAACTTTTTATTTCAAACTCCTAAAATATCATATTCAATTTTATACATTCCCTCTACATTAAGGTATAATATCCTCTAAAATCATAATGGCTTTTTCATATTCCTTTAATAGAATATATGATTAAGCCATATTACTACAAAATAAGTAATAATAATATTTCTTTTTTTACTGGACTTATATATCTTAATCATATATTTTAGGCCATGCCTCCATAAAGTTAATTCCCTTTTTATACTTTTTAATAGCATTTTCAAATTAACTATTATTAAATAGAGTATTTCCATCTTTTCTAAACTTTTCAAATTAAAGAAAACGACTATTTAATAAAATTAAACTATTATACTTTTCTAAGGCTGTTAAATCTAAAGGTTTTTCAATTATTTATTATTCTACTATTTTTATCTTAAAATATCTAAAAACTGTTGTTTATTTATCATTTTCATTTGAATCTTCATTCTAATTACTAAAATTGCATATCTTGAACCATGATTCTTCTCCAACATGCATTGATAACAGAAGTTTCTTAATTAAATTTAATTCTGGTTTTGGAGATTTCATAGAAAATCTATTGAGTTAAACTTATTTATCTTTATTCTATAAAATTCCATTGAAATCTCTTTCTTCACAAAATATTTTTAATTTTGAATCATTCTAAATTTTATCATTATCTGGTAATGAGATAACATTATATTTATATATATCAGGTCCAATCTATTATTCTTGATATTTCTTTAAAGTTTCATCCATATTAATTTAAAGATTCTTAAATATAATAACATTTTCATAAACTTTAGAAACAATAGGACTTTAATTCTCTTTTTCTTCTTCTTTTTAGATTTCTTAACTCATTATTAATATTAATGATTCTCTAAAAAGATAACATAGTAAGAATTAAAGTTTAAAAATCCTTTTGATATTTTTACTTAGACTTTTAGTTAAAAAACATTTGATAATTATTTACAATAATAATCAATTATATATTATTAATTTAATATATCATTAGATTATTCTATATTTCTTTAATCTATAGTTAGAGTAATTTTCATTCTATTTGAATATGTCTATTCTAATTCAGTTTAAATATCAAAATGTATTTGGACTTTAATTTTTAATTATTAATATTTATATTATATGCCTCCAAAAAAGGGAAAAGGAAAAAAGAAGCAGGACTCTGATGATGATGAATCAGAAGAAGTTTATGAACCAAAGGCCACAAAGAAAATTCAAAAATAAACCTAAAAAAAACAATAAGGATCAGCAAAAAAATAAAAAGAAGAAGATTCTGGTGACTCTTCATAATCTAGTGAAGAATCAAATGAAAAACAACATAAAAATAAGAAAACATAACCTTAAAAATAAAATAAAACAACAAATAATACTAAAAAGAAATAAATAAAAGAAGATGTTAATTATTGTAATATTTTAGGATGATGATGAAAATTCTGAAAGTGTTGAAAATGACAAAGACAATTTTAAATAATATTAAAAAAAAGAGACTCCACCTGAAGATGATCCTTGCAGAATTTATTATGAATCACTATACAGAGAAAGACCAGAATCTATATTAGCTATTAAGTATTGTTTAGATTATGGTCTCATTGACGAAGCCAATATCTAAAAAGCTCATAAGTTTTATGAAAAACATAAATCTAAATAAAGATGACATAAAAAACAATTTATAACATATTATAAATAAATAAATAAATAAATAAATATATTCATATTCTTATTGAAGATATAACCAAAAATATTAATATCGGTTTCATAGTTTAAAATATCTGAGATTACAATTTTAACTTTCATATTATTTAATGTCATTAAAATATTTCATTTTCAATAAAGAAGTTTTAATAAGATAATAGTCTTTTATAATAAAAGGGTATATCACTATATATACATAAGCTTTATTTTAATTTCATCTTCATTAATGATAGTTTTCACTTTATAATTTATATTATTTAAGTATTATAATTGTTATAATGTTTAATTCATAACTTGCCTGTTACGAATATTTGATATATTTAAATTGAAAAGAAAGATTTAGAGTATAAATTTCAAATGAATCCTTTCATAACTTATATAATATTTTATTAAAGTATTATAAATGAAAAAGAATTATAGAAAGTAATATGAGAACCAGTTAAAAATATAATTTATTTTCTAATTATTGATGAATTAACTTATAATAAATGATATTATATATTTTATTAATTTTTATATGTCAAGACGTAGGCGTTGTGCTTTTGATTCTGATAATTTAGAAGAGTATATGCAGGTATATAAACATATAAAATCAGCTTGCCACTATTGGATAAAATTAGACTAATCTCTTTTACGATGACAAAAAATTAAAATGGATTAATGGATTAAAATAAGTAGATGATACAGAATACACACCAAAATAAATAGAAGGATTTGAACATGGTCATAGTCAAAATGATTATATTGATACTTCTGAACTTCCACCTGATATTCATTTGAAATCTAGTGATGAAGTTATTACTCATCACATTATGATACTAGGAGATATCGATGAATGTTTAAAACAATCCCTAACTATGTTCTGTATGCAAAGTCGTAAAAATAGCAATGAAGATTTTAATGAAGAATTGATATCTCCTTTGAAAAAGTAATTAAAACTACATAAGCCTTAGTAAATTATGTCTTGATTTAGCAATTAAAAGAATTCAAGAAAGGGATGCAGTTCATATGATAAAGTTTCTTATGCATGACACATCAATTTCTGATTATGCTCCAATTANATAAATAAATAAATAAATAAATAAATATATTCATATTCTTATTGAAGATATAACCAAAAATATTAATATCGGTTTCATAGTTTAAAATATCTGAGATTACAATTTTAACTTTCATATTATTTAATGTCATTAAAATATTTCATTTTCAATAAAGAAGTTTTAATAAGATAATAGTCTTTTATAATAAAAGGGTATATCACTATATATACATAAGCTTTATTTTAATTTCATCTTCATTAATGATAGTTTTCACTTTATAATTTATATTATTTAAGTATTATAATTGTTATAATGTTTAATTCATAACTTGCCTGTTACGAATATTTGATATATTTAAATTGAAAAGAAAGATTTAGAGTATAAATTTCAAATGAATCCTTTCATAACTTATATAATATTTTATTAAAGTATTATAAATGAAAAAGAATTATAGAAAGTAATATGAGAACCAGTTAAAAATATAATTTATTTTCTAATTATTGATGAATTAACTTATAATAAATGATATTATATATTTTATTAATTTTTATATGTCAAGACGTAGGCGTTGTGCTTTTGATTCTGATAATTTAGAAGAGTATATGCAGGTATATAAACATATAAAATCAGCTTGCCACTATTGGATAAAATTAGACTAATCTCTTTTACGATGACAAAAAATTAAAATGGATTAATGGATTAAAATAAGTAGATGATACAGAATACACACCAAAATAAATAGAAGGATTTGAACATGGTCATAGTCAAAATGATTATATTGATACTTCTGAACTTCCACCTGATATTCATTTGAAATCTAGTGATGAAGTTATTACTCATCACATTATGATACTAGGAGATATCGATGAATGTTTAAAACAATCCCTAACTATGTTCTGTATGCAAAGTCGTAAAAATAGCAATGAAGATTTTAATGAAGAATTGATATCTCCTTTGAAAAAGTAATTAAAACTACATAAGCCTTAGTAAATTATGTCTTGATTTAGCAATTAAAAGAATTCAAGAAAGGGATGCAGTTCATATGATAAAGTTTCTTATGCATGACACATCAATTTCTGATTATGCTCCAATTATCAATGGTATATTATAATTCTACTTTTAATGTAGTCTACTTTCTCTAAACTACAATTTATATATTAGCATTTAATATTGATTAATAAGATTTCGATTCTTAAAAAGAGCAAGATATGATTTCTTATGTAAAGTAACGTGCTGTAAATGTAAAAAACATATATACAGTATACTTTACTGAATAAGATATTTCTGATCAAAGACAAAATAAATATTTTTGTAATAGGTGGAATATTAGTGCTATTCTCTCTTAAGTATTTTATAAAATTTTAATCTAAGATAATCGAATAAGTTATTATTTAATGAAACATATACTTTATATTAATTTTTATTCAAAATTATTCAGTATATTATGTTTAAATTTATGAACATTTATTTTATCTTTTAAATTAAAATTAAATAATCAATTATTATAGATAGAATAAATATAATAATTTATTAGTATCCTATTAAAATAATAAATTAATATACAGTATTCATTAAATTCCATTTGTAATTAAAAAATATGGTAATCTCTTAAGTAGTGTGTACAACACCAATAAATTTTAAATATATGATTAATGCAAACCAAAATCACTGATCTAAAAATAAAATAAATTGATAAATATGAATGACAATTATATCTTAGACTATCTTGAAATGTATATATATAACTGCAGAATTACCTGAATGACTATCTTTTAACATTACAAAATGAAATTTCTACTTGGATAGACATATAAAGAAATTTTCTAAAAAGATCAAAAAGACTACCGAAGTAAAATTTATATTATAATATAAATATTTATGATATTGAGAATAATGATTATATGTGATGAGATAGGAAATTACTTGAATAATTATTTATTATTAATTGTTTGAATTTCTAAATTTATTATATCTAATATTCACTTTTAACCTTTTTTTGATATAACATAAGATTAAATCTTAAAATATGATTTTAAAATAGTGTATATAAAAGAATTTGCACTTTTAAAATTGAAATATTGTAATTTAAATACAATGATTATAATTTATATAATATTTAATTCTCCAATAACATAATTAAAAAATAAAGTGAATTATAAGTGTATGTATGACATAGAAATTAATTAAAACTTATTTAGAGTCATATTATTTAGATATTACGTATTAAATTATGATGAAATGAAATGAAATTTTGAAATAAAAAATAATATAGAAATGATGCTAAGAAATCTTTGGAGATCCCCTGTCTATTCTTTTTCATATTATGCTAACTTAGATCTTAGTTGTCCTTATCCATCTTTCCAAGTAAATTAATATAAGTACAAATCATAGGCTAGAGACCTTACAACTACTCATACTATGCATTATATTACTAAACCTCCTTGTGATCCTAAAATCATGACTTTTGGAGCTTTTCATACAGATCATTTATTGGAGATAGATTGGTCTGAAAAAATGGGGTAGATAATTGTATAAATTATTCATATAGATGGAGCCGACCCCAAATTGTTCCATTCAAAAGTTTTAGTATTCATCCATTTTCAGCTTGTTTACATTATGCAATTGAGTGTTTTGAAGGTGCCAAAGTAATTGAATAAATAAATATTTTTAAAGGCTTATAGAGGACCTAATAATTCAATTAGAACATTTAGATTGAATTGTAATATGTATAGAATGAAACAATCTGCTAAGAGATTATCTTTACCAGATTTTGATGGTACAGAATTAGAAAGATGCATTGAATAACTATTAAAAGTGGATAGAGATTGGATACCGGATAGACCTGGATTTAGTTGTTATATTAGACCAACATTGATGGCAACAGAAGAAGCATTGGGAGTTAGAGCATCAAGTAGAGCAAAATTATTTGTTGCATTATGTCCTGTTGGTCCTTATTTCCCATCTGGTTTAAAACCTGTTAGAGTATTTTGTAATACATCAACAGTAAAAATATATTTCTAAAATTAGATTCGATCTGCTCCTGGAGGTGTAGGAGGATTCAAAGTAGCTGGTAATTATGCTCCAACAGTTTTACCTTTGAAAGAAGTCTAAAAAATTGGATTTCATTAAAATTTATGGATGTTGCCAGATGGTTTGGTATAAGAAATGGGAGTCTGCAATTTATTCTTTTTTTGGAAAAATAAATAAGGAGAAAAAGAATTAGTTACACCAATTCTAGATGGAACAATTCTACCTGGAATTTTGAGAGATTCAATTTTAGTATATTATATTGGTATATTATTATATAGACACTTACAAGAAGTATGGGAAAGTTTAAGGTTACAGAGAAGAAACTTTATATCTAGGAGGTTGTTGAAGCTATTGAGGAAGGGAGAGTATTATTATTATATATATGGTTTAGATGATTGAAATGTTTGGATCTGGTACAGCTGTTAGTATTTAACCTATTGAGGCTATTGGTTATAATGACAAAATATATGAAGTTCAATATGATCCTAAATTAAATGCAGGAGAACTTTCACATGAATTATTTGATATTTTAACAAAAATTTAAGTAAGTTGATTATAAATATTAGACTGGTGGGGAAGAACATAAATGGGTTAGATAAATATGATTTAAATTGTTTTATGTTATAATTTAATTATGACAATAATAATATAAATAAATAATCTTAATTATAACAAAAATCATATTTAAAAGAATATATCATTCTAATTTTTTTAATTAATCTCTAACTTAGCTGGCTTTTTTGGAGTTCATTTAAATTTATTGCTTTTAATAATTATTTGGTGAATACATAGATTAATTTGGGGATTATTAATTAAAGGCAATTTATTGTAAAGCATTCAATTAAACAAATCTTTAAGTATCTTTTCTTGATTCAGGAGTATTTAAGATTGATATATCAAAGTCTGATGATTATTATTAAATGCAGGGAAAATTAAATATTTATTTTGATTGTATTTCATTAGATTTCTCATTCAACCAACTATCAGAGGTTGCTTTTACTGGATCATATTCTCTGGCACCCATAAATGGAGTTTATTAAATTAATTCATTTTTTTTAAGTTTTGACATTTTGAATCTCATATTATTTTGACAAAATTTCTTCATGTTTTCAAATGCACTATAATTATCATTTGGTAATTCATCTAATGGTATATCATCCATACTATTAACTTATCTTTTATATAATCTTGATATAAAAGGATGAGATAAAGCTTCCAAAGATGAAATTCTATTTTTAGGATTAGGTTCTAATGTTTTATATAATAAATCTTAGGCATCTTGAGATATTTTTAAGCCTTAAAAATTGATTTAACAAACTCTATTCTTTTCTATCACATCATCTAAACTATTACCATAAAATGGGGCTTATCCAGTTAGTCTATCATTTTTAAACATTTTACAATATATATAGTATAATTCCTGCACTAAAAACATCAACTTTTTCATTATATTTTTAATCATCTAGAATTTCAGGAGCAACATATCCAGGAGTACCACATCTTTTAATTAATAATTCACTTTCAGTATAAGATGCTAAACCAAAATCAGCTATTTTTAAATCGAAATTCTCTGATTTGTCCTTTAATAATATATTCTCTAATTTAATATCTCTATGCATAATATTCTTGATTGGATAGAAGTAATAATACTTTAGTATGTAGATACTCCAAAGCATCAAATATTTTGAACATAATTAATGCTATTTTTGATTCAAGAAAAAAAGGAGTCTCAAGTATAATATCAAATAATTCTCCTCCTTATAATAATTCCATAACTAAATAGATATAATCTTCACTTTCATAAATTTCATAGAGTTTTATAATATTTGGATGATCACATGATCTCAATATATTAATTTCATTTATTAATCCTTACTAAAACAATATTATTATTAAAAATATACCCTTTAAGTATTCTTTTTATCAATCAATGCTGATTTTTGAAAAGTCTTTACTGCAAATTTGGATTTATTAATTATTTTATGGCCTAAAAATACCTTATTTATGAATTATATTACCTTTGCAAATGTACCCTTTCCTAATACTTTAATATTTGTGTATATGTCTTTATAATTGTTCATTATACAGGTTTTCTTGAATTATTCAATCCATTTTATCTGACTTTCTTAAGAACGAGCATTCAAAATTAACTTTCTATTTCCATTTATTAATATTATGGGATATTTATCTTTTTCATATTCAACCAATAATTTTAAGTCTAAATAGACATTAGTCAAGAATAGAGCAGCTGTTTCTTTTTGTTCTCTCCCATTCTAATAATAAATCTTTATTATAATTATACTTTATAGATATTCAATCTATCTGAAAACAACTTAAAAAATTTAGGATCAAAAGCATTTTACTTTTTGCTCTTAATAAATAATGTTCCCTCAAATAATCTAATATTTGAAATTGAACGTTTAATAGAGTCAAGTTTTACCCATTAATTCTTATCATTCTAATTTGAAGAATCAAAAAATAATTATTCAATTTACATTAATATATAAAATATTTGTATTAAACAACAGCTTGTCTATGTATTTATATAATTATCAAATTCTCTCTCTTAATGATGAAATTAGCTTTGTACCATTAGTCATATTAGTTGTACATATGATTACTTCTTTATTAAATTATTTTCCCAAGAGACGCAAAGAAGCAATCTCTCCATAAGTTACACCACCAAGTATATATATAATTACAATAGCCTTTTTGCCAGGAATATTCAATTTAATAGGTCTATCTGGTTCATATTGATAACCATTAATCAATTACATTTAAGTTTTAAATGGTTTCCACGATCCCTTATCAAATATCTTTTCAGTCAAACGAGCCCTAAATTATTAGAATCAAAAATTACAAAAGAGGACAGTGACCACTATAAGTATAAGCAGGATCTTTAGGATCTGTATCATCAGATCTAATATCTACATTCAATAACTTAAATTATTCCTACAATTTAAAGAAAAGCTATTTGGCATCAGATTTGAATAACATACCAGCTTTGGATAAATTGTTTAAGAATGCAATAGTTTTAAATCCATATACATGAACAATCTCTCTCCTCATATAATCAAATGGTTTTTGTTTCAATCCTCCATCAACTAAAGATCTTAAGGTTAACAACCTTACAACTTTATTTAAATCCATTTCTAATTGAATCATAGCTTCTATATAATCTAAAGTTCTTTCTGTTTTATCTCCATTAATTATTCCTTATTCTAAACTTAATAATTTATAGAATGATATTGTTTTAATATTCTCTGCAATCTTTCCACTTATATTAAGATCTATATATATAAATATTATATAATACGTCTTGAATTTGATTCCTATTCTAATTTAATCTTCTTTGCTTATTAAACAATCCTCTCATTCAATTAAGCTTATTTTTCTTTCTAAAATTCTGTCTTCTCTACTTCCTATTGTTTTGCTTACTCATATAAATATTTGGCTAAAGATGCCACTTACAATCCTCTTACTTTATACATTAAAGGATCTTTCTCTGAATTCAATTACAATGTTTGATATTCCTCTCCTTCTTAACCTTCTTTTCCAAATACCTTTTTTTGTAAACTTACTAAATTTCCATTGATACCAAACTATTCATCTATCAATCCTTCATAAACTAATTATGTTAACATTGGAGTTACTAAGTCAATACTTCTGTCATATATAATTAGAGATTCAACCTCTTAAGAGTCTTGATTTTAATCAGATTATGAGTTTTCTACTTTAATAATGTCATAAACCATTTTTGCACCATCACCTTTACAATATATATTAGGAATATTGCCCATAACAATTTGTATTCGATTAATACTATCTGCAACATAATTATAAATTGATAAATCTTAATCAATCATCATATCTCTAAAAGCATCTGGCATTTCTAAACTTAATACATCTAAATCAAGTGGAATAAGATCAAATGAAAAATCCTTAATTTCTACACTACTTAAAACTCCTTCTTATTCCAATAATTCTTTAGCTAGAATTGTTCTTGAAGGCCAAAAGACTAATTTATAAGTATTGTTAGGACCATTGGCAGCTTTGATCATTCTTGCAATTTTTCTTGTTACATCTAATTTAGGTGGAATAATGATAAAAATTTAAGTAATATCATTTTCTATTTAATTTATATTCTCTATTGTTAAAGTCTTTTTGACTCCACTTTCTTATAGTAATTTATTTTCAATGCTTAATTTAAGTAATTGTAAGACTCTTTAACTCAAAATTAATTATTTATTTCCAGGCATAGTTTCCAATAATGCAATAATCTTATTCTTCAAGTAATCCTTATAAATTGTAATATCAAATTCATATTATGGAATATTTGGATTTTACATTTTTATTAATAAAATATAAAATGTATTAGTGATATCATATATATGATAATAAATATAAAAGATATTTAAATCTATGTCATTTTTTCTATTTTTTTGATTAATTAACACTATTTGAACGTAAAGCAGGCATTTTATTTTTTGTATTGCTCTCTTTCATTTAATATTCTTCAATTGCCTAATTAATTTCACTTAGCTACTTAGGATTCCCTTTGCAGCTTTATCATTTCTTCATATTATTAATTCAAGTCATCCATCAATTTCTCATTAATCCCATATCCCATAGATTTCATTGAGTCTTACATCTATGATATAGTTTTTTTCAAAATACACATACTCTAAAACTATTCATCTAAATCAATATCAGCTATCATTATACATTTTAAAAATCTTACTTTAAAATAACATTTTATTTAATTAACCAACTTCACTATCATCTTCAAAATTTAACATAACTTTTTTTTATTTATCCAATACTTTACTCTTCTATAATAAATCTTCAATACTACTATCACTATTACTATCATCTTAATCATTATTTGATTCTTCTGATTTTGCTTATTAATTATGAGTAATAAACACAGTGTCTTTTTATGGTTATTTTTATTAAGTTGATTTCAAATCTTTAATCTTTTCTGTTTGACTATAATTTTTTAATGTATTTGCTCTTTTTGCTATAGAATCTATTTCATCATTAGAATTGTTAATTTTCTTATTAGATTTAACTTCATTAATTTATGCTTTTTTAGTATCAATTTTATTAATATCATCATATTCATTAAGTTTATTAAATAAATTCTTTTCTAAATTACTTATTGCATTATTATTCTACTTTGGTGGTAATTATCTATTAGCTGATTATGCTGATGTAGGTTTATTAATACTTGGTAATTTCATTTAATATATATTAATTGTTATAATTATTTATATTGATATATTGATTCAAACTTTAAATGGTAAAAAACTCATAACTGGCAGATTCAAATGAATTATAGAACTTAAATGTTTTTACTTACTCAAATCATCATCCTCATCTTTTGAACCTTCTTTTTTTTACATTTAATTATTTTTCTTTTTTCTTTTCATATGAGTTGAACAAATCTTGAAAGAAACTATATCAGTATATATATTTCCATCAACAATAATAGAAAATGGTTTCTTTGTTTATTCCTCAACATTAATTTTTGTAATTGATATATTAGTAAATAAAGATTTAAATGCATTTTAAATAGATTCTAAAATAATCTAAATTATTAATATACCTTAAGAATGCTTTTTAAATATATTTTTTTGTCTTAATCCACTATCAAATAATTTTGAATTCTCATATGTTATATATGATAACTCTAACCAATCAGTATGTGGCATAGGCATATTACCTTCAAAAAAGTCTGTATAAACATTATTAATTTTGCAATTATGTAATTACACTTAAATCTTTTCAACCTTCTCTTCTTTATTTGGACTATTAATAATATTACCTAACATATCAGTTTATTCTGTAATCATTTAGATATTTAAATATTAAAATTTGCATAAATTTTTTTCTTTAAAATCATAAAATGATAATTTCTATAACTTTTCATCTTTTGATCTTTCCTTTTGTAATTCAAATTCAGCTATTGCACCAAACATTACATATGAACAAAAATACAATGTACTCTTCAATACTTCATCAGATTTACTTTTAGGATTTAAACCAGACTTCTACTCTGCCATTGCAATACCTCCATAACTTAATTTCTTTTAATAAATTGTTAATTTATAAACTCTCACATTATATGCTCTATTCCCTTCTCTTAAATATGTATTCAAACACCATGCTTTTTATTCTAAAGGCAATTAACCTTACACTTTATTCACTTCTTAAACATATTTATTATTATCCTCTTTTATAGACTCTAATTTTGGTATCAGAATATCTTCCATAAAAGGTAAATAAAGATATCTTTAATACCAAGGATCCTTTACAGCTAAAAATTAAGCCAATGCACAATCTTTAGTTGGTACAATAAAGACTCTAATATCTAAAGTTCTTAATAATAAAGGATTCTTTTAATATATTTCACCTAATAACATACAGACTTCAAATATTTCTGCATCTGATCCTACAACTAACAATCTTAATGGTTCTGTATGTAAAGGCATATAATTATCATAAGCTCTTTAAACAAAATCTTTGATTAATTGATTTGGAATCATAAATTATCCCTATTCAAATTTAAGAAAGGATTGCTTAGGTGCAGTAAATGTAAAACTTTTTTGAATAACATTATGAAAATAAAACAAAGGAAAATCTGGTATGGATAACTAAATTATGTTTAAATAATTTACTTGATTACTCATTACTGCTTAAACTTCTTTTTAAACATTATTTGGTTCTTAAGTATGTTTCATTAATTCTTTAGTTATCTCATCAAATGCATTTTCATATATCAATTCAATATCTGCAATAGAATCCAAATTATCACATTTCTCAACAATGGTCAATAATTTACAATATAAATTAAATATATCTACTTCTTTGAATGCTGATAATTAGGGACTCTTCCCTTACTTAATTAATTAATGAAAATGATACATTTTTCTTTTGTTATAATTACAATATTTATGCACAAATATAACATCGTAAACTATTTGGAGTATATAATTGGGCATAATTTTAATTCTTATTTCTTAAAACGAATTGTGCATATTATAATACATTATTTGCATTATTTTATCTATTCTCATAAAATACATAGACTGATAAAATTTATTATTCTTATTTCTATTATGCTAATCCAGATATAGGAATTTATTATTCTTAAACACTTTAAAATTAAATATCTTAAGATTAATCATCATCAAAAAAATCAATTTATGGAATTTCTTCTCTAATTTTCATTCTAAATGCATTTCCCCTTGATTTTTATTCTTAATACAATATCTAAACTAATTCATTAGCCATCACTCCTACTGGAAATGGCCATCTTCTAAATATTTCTATTTAATTAAGTAAAGATTTTAAGAGATCTACTATTTCACAACCATAAAATGTAATTAATTATTTTGTCATATGTAATAAAGATAATGCTGACTTTTCTGCTTATTCTGGAAAATCTTATGCTATAAATGGTATCATTTTAAAGTATTTTAAAAGAGAATCATAAAATACTCTACTTTATGAATTTTTATATTTAGTTCTTATTTATTTGATTAAATATTCATAACAAAACATAAATTCTCCAGTTTCTTATAAATCAAATCTCTCATCCAATAATAAATTATAAAATGAATCATTTTTAACTCTCACTGTTTTACCATATTATTCAACTAATTAATAATGTTATTTTAATGAATCATACATAAGTTCTATATTTTCAGGTTTAGCAACTTTAAATAAATCTGGCATAAATGCTATAGCACCAATTAAGAATCCTGTAAAATTGTTATCTTCTAATTATTAAGATTCAAAAATGAAATGTAAATTACAAACTATTGATATAGAATATGGGTTCATTAATTATTATTTTTTATGAGCATTAACAATATGATGATCCCAATTTTACTTGACTTCTTTATAATCTCTTTATTTTTTAACATTTTCAACATTTTTAAACATACTAATTGTTAATAATGTAGCTAATAAACTTTCTAGACTATATGGTTCCTTTTTTCTTTTGTATTCAGTTTAATCAATAATTTTTAATAATTCAAGAACATATATAGAAGCATTGTCTTAGCCTTCATTAAGTAATTCCCAAAAAGTCTAATATTCATGAGCTTTAATTTCTATTTTATTAACAAGAATATTAGTAGTCAATATGATCTTTTTAGTCAAGTCTTAAAAAGATTATTTAGTATTATTATTTGGAATCATAAAATATTTAAAACAATATATTTATTTATTATATTAAATAAATAAGAATTAATAAAAATCAAACAATAAAAGATAATTAAGATCAACTTTATTATTTGTTAGAATTATGAGTACCTCGATTAGTCGAAAATCTACCTGGCATTTCAATAGATTATGTCATAGTAATCCCAACATTATGATTATTATTAGTTTTACTAACATTTATTTCTTTAACTTATGTAGTTTATCTCTTTTTCATAGCTTCTAAAGATGTTTCAGCCATTATTAATTTTTCACTTAATTCTGAAGCTTCTTCATTTTTTTCTTTGAATTTCTTTCTCCAAACATCTACCTCACCTTATAAAGATATTAAAGTAGTTTCAACTCGACTATAATTCTCTTAAATTACTTAAAGTTCTTATATTTAATCATTAAGTTGATCAATAATATCATCTTTTTCATTTAAGATAGATCTTAATTTTAAGATTTCTTGATCTTTATCTTTAATATTTATTTATAAATCTTTATTTTCTTCCTCTAATTATGAAATTTATTTTTTCAATTATCGTAATTCTTCATTAAATCCATTTTAATTTGATTATTATCTCTATAATTCATTATATCTGTCTTTCCAATTTTATAATTCTTCTTTAAGTTATTTTAATTCAATTCTTAATTTTTCTTCTAAATTTCTTAAATTTTAATTGATTCTTTCTAATTCATTAAGTTTTGTAGTATTTTCAATAGGTATAGATTATTCAATATAACCACTAATTTTTATTCTTTGATTCTCAACTTATAATTAATAGATCTTCAACTCTAATTGTTAGATTTTAAATTTATATTTATATTCCATTTCTTCAACATTAACAACTTAAATAGGTCTTTCAAAATGATGTACTTCATGTATTTCTTGAGGTTTTTGAACTCTTTCAGTTGATAACTAAACTACACGAATAGGTGAGACAGAAGAGGAATGATTAGGTATAACATTTATTGATGATCTATTAGGTGTAGTTGAGGTTCTTCTATCATTAGAAGGTGTACTATAATGTAATAATTATATACATTGTAATATGAGTTGATTAATTTTATAACTTTTAGACTGCATAGTTAGTTATATATTTGTTGGATTGAATAATGGAATTTTAGGTTTATTTGTTAAGAGGAGAGAGTGTCTAAGGATTTTGTGGGATATAGGAGCTCCCTTTAGATCTAAGAAGCTGTTACGTCCTTTCGTTTTACATAATAAAATTTATTAATATGGCTGTAAAAGTTTAGTAATATAAAATGAAGCAGCATTTTTTAAAAACATTAAATTTAATAAAGTATGGGAAAAGGTAAATAGAAAGTAGAATCATCAGAAGAGGAAGGTGGAAGTGATTATTAGAAGGATGACTTTGTGGTAGATTCAGATGAAGATATAGAAGAAGAGGCATAAGAGAAGTAAAAATTAGGTTGATAATTTTAGTCATGACGATTCATATGATGCTGAATTGTCAGAGGATGATAAAATATTGATTGAAGACAATAAGAGAGTTTCAAAATTAGGAAGATTGTAGAAAATAGCAAAAGATGATGATGAACCAGAAATGGAGGATGCTCCTGCAGATCTATTTCAAGAGCCTTAATCTTAGGAGCCAATTGATGAGAATGAGTAAAATGAGTTAATAAATAAATTGTTTGATCCAAGTTAAAGAGAAGTGGCATTCTTGAACTAAAATGATGAGGAGATAATTAAATAGGACGTGCCTGAATCGATCTAAATTACTTACATGAAAATGACTAATGGATAGATCATGTAAAATTCAAGAGAAGAAGCATCAGAATAGTAATTAAAATGGATTGGAGAAAAGATGTGTTCCCAGTTCGATTTAAAAAATCTTTCTGATGTTTTAGTTGGAATCAAACTAATTTTGGAGTTCTATAGAAAAGAGAATTTAGATATAATGTACATCTATACTTATAAGCGTCATCTCATAACTTCAGCATTTCAATTAGAACATTATTGGAAAATAAGAGAACTTGATTATGAGTGGGAACACTTTAGTAATTTCAAGAATAGAATATCAAAATTGATTGACTCTATACCTGAAGGATATTTAATATAGAAGGAAACAGCCAACATGTATTTATAAAAGGCAAAAGAAATAGAGGATTTATAGAATTTGAAGGATTATATTGATTATATAATCATGAAACATAATTGCAAGAGAATTGTTTAATTAGAATAGGAATTATAGAGAGAGAATTAGGAGAAATAATTATTAGGTTAAAGAATGAATTAAGATTAGACAATAGAATAGGAAAAAGAATATGTGAATTCCAAAATTGATAATATTTAAAAGGAGTTGGATAATTTGAGTTTGAATGCAAAGAAGAAATCTGATACAAAAGAGAAAGCCATGAAAGAATATATAAAATAAAGAGTAGATGAAGCAGCATTGAAATTTTGTTATACTTCAGATGAATTCTTCATCAAATTATAAGGAAAGAGTGTATAAGTGGATAGAAAGATTATATAGGATTTGGAAGAATTATGGAATCATTAAACAGAGGCTGCAGAATTTAGATCATAAGATTCAAGTTCTGAATATATCAAATTATTATAAAAATATTTGATGATGGAACTATATCATCATCCCTTCATCAGAAATTTCATAAGTCAAATATATAGAGATCATTTACTTATTTCAACAGAACCTACTTAATTGGGTAATAGAGAAATAACAGCTGTAAGTTATTTCTTTCCAGTTAAGAGAATTAAACATAGATAATATAAATATATGGAAGATCAAACTTGGATGCAATGTCTTAGAGCAGAATAATTAGGATATATCAAAATTAGTTTTACTATATCAAAAGATAAAGATCATAAAAAAGAAAAGTTTCCAAGAGATGATATAATGGTTTTATTATATGATAAATTTGTTAAAATTGATGATTCATAGAAAGAATAAGAAAATATAATGAGATTTAGAGATCTAATTCTTAGAGGTATTTTATAAGAAATATGGTATCCTGTTTTAGAAAGATAAATTAAATATAAATTGTAATCTCTCTCATCCAAACATATAGTAAGGATGTGTCAACAAAAATTCAAATAACTCATTAATAAACAACCTCATATAAGTGAAGTTGGAAATAATTAATAAATGTAATAAACTACTAATCCTGATGTCAAAATTATGTCTTTAGTTATTGGATAAGAATAGACAGATATAAAAGTACTTAAAGCTTATTCTCAAGATTGTTCAATTCAAAAAAAATATATTGGAATGTCTGTTATTGATTATAAAGGAGAATAACAAACTCTTCAAATTTTCAATTATTTAACCTAAGATGAAAGAAGAACTGATATGCTTGAATAAATTAGAAAAGAATAAGCATTATTAGATAATTTCTTTGAAAAATATAAACCAGATCTTGTAGTCATTTCATCTAATCATTCTGATTGTTTAAAATTAAGAGCTGATTTACGTAAGAAATATTAATAGACATCCTCTGTTTGGATTACTTTGGCAGATTCATAAATCTCAAGGATTTATAGTATGAGTGAAAAGAGTAATTTATAATTGCCTGAAATACCTCCCATTCTAAAGGAGGCTATTTCTTTGGCTAGATATAAACTAAATCCAATGGCTGAAGTATTAAATCTATGGAATGATTCAATTGATAAAAATGGTTGTTTACATCTTAATTTACATCCACTTCAATCTATGGTTAGTCAATAAGTATTACTTGATGCTTTAAAATAAACTGCCACTGAAATAGTCAATTAAGTTGGAGTTGATTTGGTTGATTGTACTTTACATAAACATTTGGCAGATTAAATGCAATTCATTAATGGTTTAGGAAGAAGATAAGCCAAACATCTATTAACAATGGTCAAAGGTTTATTGAGTAAGAGTCTCTTTAATAATAATTATGAAGATGAAAGATTAATCTATTCTAAATTAGAATAAGATTAAAAAGAATATATCTAAATCTAAAGATAAGATATCCTAAAAACACAAATTTTAAAGAAAGTTGTATTCAAAAATGTTTAAGGATTTATTAAAATTTAGAGAGGCATTTAACCATTAGACATAACTAGAATGTAAATTAAAATGTATTCTGATGCTGTACATATAGCCAAATGTGCTTTAGAAGTTGGAGGTAGAGATGATAGATAAAATACTATTGTTAGATAATTGATGAGTCAACCTTAAAAGATGGAAGAACTTTAATTGGAGGACTGGGCAAAATAAAGAGAATAAAAAGATGGAAGTGAAAAGTTTACTTTAGTTGCTTAATTTATGAAAGAGGAATTAACAAATCCTTTCCTTTATAAATTTGATACTGCAAATAAGGAAATGAGTAATTCTGAAATATTCTATGCAATTACTTAAGAGTCTCCTTACACTTTCCGTAAAAATAGTATTGTTCAAGGATAAATTACTAAAAAAATAGAAGGTAAAGACAAGAGTAAAGACAGTGATAAACTATTAATAAAATTATCAGATAATGGTTTATGTGGTACCCTACGTAAAGAGGATATGTTATAATAAGAATTTGGAATTGGTTAAATTATTAAAGCTTATGTGAAAAGGATACCAGCTACAGAAAATAATAATAAAAATGATAGTTTGAATATCCTTATTATAGAATTATCATTGAAGCCTGATTGGTCACGATGGGATTAAGATTATCTAAAACCACCTAAATATGATCCATGGCCTTATTCCAATATTTCATATGATGATTATTGTAATAAAGTTATACAAACCTTTGATTAAAGTAAATTCAAAGAGTTTGATTAACCAATCATTCCTTTAGATCAAATGCCTAATAAATAGAAATAACAATAGAAATTGATTCTAAGAAATATTAATCATCCTAAATTTAAATAAGTACTTCTCAAAGGAGCTCTTGAATATATTGAAAGCTAACCTGTTGGAGAATACATTATTAGACCTAATTAAAGACTTAAAGATCATTTAACAATCACATGGAAATTCCATGAAGGTGTTATTGCACATCTTTATGTTTAAGAATAAAAATCTGCCTAGAGTTATAAGCCTTAACTTTTTTTGAATGGTAAAACTTATGAATCTTTTGATGAAATCTTTGAAAACTATATTACTCCATGCAATCTTCATATGGAAGCTGCTGCAAACAATAAGAAATTCTATAATATTAAAATGGATCAAGTAGAAAAGAAGTTGAGAGAAGATAAGGAAAAAGATGAAGAAATTATACCATATGGTTTTTGTGTTACTGAAAAGGCTCCACAATATATAGTTTTGATGTATATGAAATAGAAGAATAAAGTAGAAAAGGAATACATTAAAGTTAAACCTGAAGGTCTTAGTTTTCACTCTGTAATGTAGAATAATCTCAAAGAATTAACCTTATGGTTTAAGAAAAACTTTAGAACCCAAGAATATAAAGATTATGTTAAAAGAACAAAACCACCTATTCCTGAAACTAATGATAGATTAAATTAATTAAATTCATAATGGGAAGTTAAGAGGGAGAAAACTAAAGAAGAAAAAGTAAAGCATGAAGAATCATCTTGTAATTATATTTCTTATTATTATATAGATAATGTAATATGTTCCAAATGTAATAAGCGTGGTCATAATGCAAATGACTGTAGACAAATGAGAGATAAAGGAAGAAGTGGAGGAGGAGGAGATTCAAAAAGTATTTTATTAATTCTATAAATATATAGTGGGATGTCATAATTGTGGTTAAAATGGTCATATCAAAAAGAATTGTCCAAAATTAAATAATCCTAGAAGAGAAAGAAGTAATAGCAGAGAGCGAGAAAAGATGTCTACTAAAAAGAATCAATTCTAAACAAAAGTAGAAGACACTCAATAAATGGACTGGTGATTTAACATTATTAATAGAACATATATTAATTATTTTCCCTTTTTTTTATATATATATTTAACCTTTATTTCTTATTTTCAATAAATTTAGTACTTTAATCAATATGTGATTATCATCATATTGATAATATTCCTATCTAAAGAATTATAAAAAATGAATATTATATTTAATAATTAATGAGACCATAAACAGCTAAACCAAAATTGGCAACAAATGAATATACAAAAGAAATTGATTTCTTAAAACAATAAAAATTGATAGCTTATGGGGGAGATCCATCAAATTTACCTTAGATATTTTAGAAAAATCCTGCCTTTCTAGTTTTGGATGAATTGCAAGCAGAACTTTTTAATGCAAGATGTCACGATACAGGTGAAACTGTATCAATTGAAAGAGTATATTATATATAATATTTAGGCAAAAATCTTTAAAGAGGAGTTCAATAAGATCAATTCAAAGAAATTTCCTGATGTATTGAATTTATATTCGATGAGATTAGGAGTTACAACTTTGATTGCCTTAGCAAATTAAAAGCCTATCTAAACAACAATCAATCTAGCAGATAATACATTAGGTGATTATGCAGTTCATGCCATAAAAACATTATTAGCTAACTCCCAAATAAAAAATCTTAATTTAGCTTCTAATATGATAAGTCATATAGGATTAGGATAGATCATAGATGACCTCTGCAAGAATCAAACATTAAAATCTTTAGATTTGGGAGTTTTAGATGGTAGTATTAGAAAGAATGCTCTTGGCTTTGAAGGAGCAAAACATATAGCATAGTTATTATTGTCAAATAAAAAGATAGAAACATTAAAACTGTAAGATAATGTTATAACTACTGCTGGAGGAGAATTTATTGGTTAAGCATTGAAAACTAATTAGAGCATTAAACATTTAAAGATAGCAGAAAATGATTTGAAAATAGCAGGAATTGAAACTATTTTAATAAATGGATAAAATTTAGAATCTTTAGATTTATCTAAGAATAATATTAGACCAACAATTAAATTTTAGGAGTATTTGATGAATAATAGAATATTAAAGAGATTAAATTTAGAATTTAATGATTTAGGTCCAAAAGGAGTAGAATACTTAGCAAATGGAATAATATAACAGTAATCTGGATTAATTTCATTAAATATAAGAGGAAATTAAATTAGAGATGAAGGACTTTAGGTTTTATCAGCTGCTATATACGAAAGTGAATCTTTATAAGAATTAGATATATCTTTAAATGACATTACACCTGATGGAATAAGATATTTAGCAGATGTGTTACCAAATAGTCAGATTAAAATCCTAAATTTATCAAAAAATTTATTGGGTGATGAATCAATGATTATGTTATGTAATAATAGGATAATGGAGAAATTGGATGTATCATCAAGTAGAGTTGCAGATTAAGGGGTATGTAATGAAAATGAATAAATTAGTTTATGACATTTATAACATTCATAGGAGAATCAACAAATTTCACTCATTTGAAGGCTAATGATAATTATATAAGTGAAAAAGTTGAAAAGCTGATTTTGGAGATTATAGAGAAGAATTAAGTTATAATTGATTTATAAGTAACAGGAAATAGATTATCATTGTGTTGTTTGAATAGAATTCAAAAGATATTGCATAGGAATTAAAAGATATTAGAAGAAAAAGAGCCAAGTAAGATTAGGACTGAAATATACAGATTGAAATATGAATAGAAAAAGATATAAATAGCAAAAGATAAGTTGTCATAATAAGAGAAGGAGATATTATAAATTGAAGATAAGAAATCATAAGTTATAGTAGAAATGGAGAGAATTAAATAATAAGAATAAAGTAAAAGAGCAGGATTGTAAGAGAGAATTACTGATTTATTAAATTAAATAGAGAAGAAGAAGAAGATAATAGAAGATAAATAGGCGGACTTTGAGAGATCAAAATAATTAAAATAACAAGAATTAGATACTTAGAAGAATGATTATTAAGTTGTATATTAGAAAAGGAAGGAGTTGGAATAGGAGTATGAGAGATTATAAAAAGAATTGGATACTCAAGAATAAAAATTTAAAGATGAATAATAAAAATTAGAAGATGCAATAGCAGATAAAAAAGCCAAAGGTGAGGAGATTGAGAAATAGACTGCATAATTGAGAGAAGAGTTGATGAAGCTTTAGAAATAATAATTTGAATAGAATAATTAAGCTGAGAAGGAATAATAGATATAGTAATAGCAATAAGTGATTAATGAAAAAGAAGAGAAGGCTGAGAATGAGAAATAACCTGATTAACAGGATTAAAATGCTGAGAAGTTGAAACCTAAGAAATCCACAAAGAAAGGGAAAAAGAAGAAATGAATACTTATTTATTATATAAATTATGCAAATCTCATAGCTTATTAATATTTAATAAATTGTACTGAGGTATTTATAAGCTTACAGTTATTACAACATGAAAAAATAAATAAATTAAATTTCACATAATCTATATTCAATAGAAATACTAATATTTATAATTTGTAAATAAATCATTATAGTTTAATATATTCAATAAATGTATGAATTATTACTCTATATAGAAATAAAAAGATAATTATAATAATTTATATTATAAATCAATTGAAAAGTTTTAAAAAGAAATCATAATAAACATACTATATGTATAATTTTGTTATTTATAATAATCAATCACTTCTGGTAGTGCAAGCATCAATTTTTTGTCCTTTATAATTGTTGCAAGCCCATTAAACTAGATCTTCCAAAATAAGATTTTCATCTGTCACACTATGTCTCTTATTTGTGGTAATCCAAGGAACATATTAATGTGCTGGTTAAAGACCATCAGTTTCTTCAGCTGCTGCTAAATGTAGTTTGTAACCTTAGTCACCCTTAATATTTAAATAAATAATACAGTAGCACATTCTTTGACAGCAGTTCCTGAAATACCAAAATCAGCTGCACAGAGACTTGCAGCTTCGTCAAAACGAGTGTTTGTATAAGGCTTGAATATTCTTCTGTCAATACAGATAGCCCATTAAGCTTATAATATTTCGTTGTTGGTAGGGTATTTGGATGCCAATATGCTCTGGCCACATAATTAAACATAATTTCCATAGCATTCCACAGATCCATGTTGACATGTGAATTACCATTTACCTGTGGCTTAATTATATACTCTTTTAACATTTCCATATGGTACTACTCTAATGTGAACCATTTATTCAATGTCTGGTGTATCAACTGCCTCAGTCAAAGAATTTAGGAGAAACACCATGCAATCAGGGCATAATGACTCTGTATATATATCAACTGATAATCTGCTTTAACAAAAGGCTATTGTAAAAAGGAGTGCTAATCCTAAAATTTTCATTATTATAATAATGACGCAATCGTGAATTTCATACTTTGATTATTATTTTGTTCGTTAAATAAAATGCAATCAATATTAAGTTAATGTGCTACACTTGATGAGGAATTTGTAATTTTGGTTCCAATCATTGAAACTATGATTGAGGAATTGTCAGTGGTAAGTAGAGAATTTGTTAGTTCTAAATTGGAATTTCTTAAAAAATACTCAACTTCTCTTAAATCAAGCCAGATAGATGCTCGAATTCATCGAAACCAACAGATTCGAAACCTCATTGAATATGTAAAAATGCATAGACAATCTAAAACTAAGTCAGTAAGTTAGATTTATACAACTTCTAAGAAGAGATAGAAATTTCATACTGACTCTGGATGTTATCCTGTCTAAAAGTGCTATTCAATATCTTGCTCAACTCTATAAACTACAGAATTCAATGCAATTTCACCTCAGTAGAAGAACAAATATATTACTACAAAAATACTTAAGCAACTTATTACTAAATAGAAAAAACATTAATAAAAAGCTAGTGAATAAATATTTAGATTAATCAGTAAATGTATGAATTTGATATCTGAAAATCCACATTAATTCCCACAGTACTCAATCTTGTTAGAAGAGTATAAAGCTATAAAGAAAAATAATTCTTGTTTAGAATAAAAATTGAATTTGGAAGAAAAATCCTAATAAGTTAAAGATAATATCAAGAAATTAATACAAAGTTAAGAATCATTCAAATCTTACTTAAATTCAATCATTTGATTATTTATTATAATAACTCAATTTCAGAACTTGAAGAATCAGAATTCTCTGAATTACTATATATTCCTGATTATTGATTCTCCTTATTTTCTCACTCTTATTTTAATTTATTTTTTGTCTTTCACATTTATTAAAATCAACTAATATTTATTTTACCAATAATATTAAAAAAAACATATTAAATACTCATAGTTAATTGAAATTTAATAATTCATCAAGATCTTAATTAGATGTTAGTTAGTCTATCTATTATTATAATTAATAATCATTTTTATAAGTTTCTAATATCTAATCTTAATCTGATTATTTAGTTTAAATATGAAATAAAAAATACTATTGATTTCATGATAGAGCCGAATATTTGTTTATGTAAACAATCTAATAGCTTACCATAATTCAATTAAATTAATTTTAATTTTTTTATTTCTTTTATTTCTTTATAATTTGCAGTTTTTTTGGTTTATTATATTATAGTAATATTGAACTATTAAAATATTAATTTATATTTCTTAGATTATTTATAAAATATCGCAATTTAAAGAAGGATCATAATTATCATAATCGATTATCTGATATTTAGATAAAGAATATTTGTATTAATTTACTATATCAATAAATCCATTATTTTATGAATAATTGAAATAAAAATATAATAAAATAAGAAGTAATTGTAATCAGCAAATAGCAAACGATAGAGCTATCAGAACTGAAGAAATACTACTTGATAAATCTATTACTAATGTACTATGAATAGAGAAAAACTCATTTCTTCTTTTATTCGATCTTTTTAATATAAAATTCTAGTTCCTTTCCTTCAAGAATATAACCATCGGCTCTACCAGATTGTCCTGGTCTTGATGTAACTCTGACTAAAAGTCTTTGATTTTAGAATTATTCAGCAACTAAATTATCAATAACTCTATCTTTCAATCTGGCTTCTAGTTTCTTTTTTAATGAATTTGATTTCTTAACTTCTTAAGTTGCTGGTTAGTCCTAATTATAATTTAATAATTTTTACCTTCTTTTAAGTCTTTTTAGCTCCCAAATCAATATTGTATTTCTTTAAATAAAATTATTTAAATGGTGTAGCATCAACTTATACAATAGCACCTTTAGTTAATGTTTTTGTTCTGACTAATTCATTATTTGATGGATGATAAACAACTTCAACAATCTTTCCTTTTTTTGCAACACCTTCACTACCCCATGAGAAGTTTCCATCTGATAAACGAAGAGCTCTGAATTTAAAGTTTCCTCCTCTAACTCTCAATCTTCTAACTCTCTTTTCACCAGATACTAATTTAGTCATTGCAGCTTGTCTTCCTTTCTCAAAAGCTCTCTTCTTTTTATGAATTGGCATACGACCACCTGTAAGTCTTCTTTTGTGTCTACTATCTCTTGAAATACCCATGAATAATAAAAAAAGATTTTATTTAATTTCAAATAACCACACATATACGCTTATTTAATATAATTATTATGAAACAGAATATGGCACATACTTATTAAATAATGGATCGAATAGGTTTCATCAAGAATATGATATCCACTCATTAAAAAAAACTCATTACTGAACCCAAAAGAAGTTCATCCTATTTAGAAACATCTTAAACTGAAGTTGTTAGACGAAGTAGAGATTCATTTCATAAATAATAAAGTCATTTAAATGAAACATCTACTTCTGATTATTTTAGTATACAAGAAAACACCAATCTCAGATTGTTAAGAGAAGAGCTCAAAATTACCAAAAGTTTATTAGATAAGCGATCTATTGAGTTGAATTAATTATTGTAAGATAATTAAGGAAATAAATCTGATATAATCAAATTGAAAGAGGAGAATGAAGAATTAAAATATCAATTAAAGAAGGTCATAAGAGAAAAAGATGATTATTAGGAAGAATTGGCATTTAAGTTAAAGAAGATAGATTCGTTGAATGAAGAAATTTAAAGATTAGAGAAATCTTAAAATTAAATGATATGTGATTTAAAAGAAGCAAGAGAAGCAATGTAAAATATCAGACAATATGAGAATGAAATCAAACAAAAAGAAAAATAAGTATAAATCTACATTTAATAAATTAGCTGTTAAATGATTGGCAAAAACTTGAAAAAGACAAACTTCTTCTTAAAGAAAGATAATCTTAATTACTTATACTTTAAGAATAGTTATAAATCGAAGTTGAAAATATTCAATCTCTAAAAAATAGAATTACTTAGTAAGAGAAAAAAATAGTTAATGTTTAATAAGAGAAATAAAATTAATTAAAAGAAAAAGAGTAATAATTATAGATGAAAGAGAAAATCATCTCATTTAAAGAACTAAAAGTAGAAAAAGAAGAGAAGTTAAAAGATGAAGTTGATCAAAAATTATTAATTTTAGAAATGAATGAAGATTTATGGAAAAAAAGGGTCTAAGCAGAATTTACTAAAATTAAAGAAGTCCAATAAAAACTCAAAATAATTAAATGACAATTCCATTAACTAAAAATTTTGAAAATTTTAAACTTCAAATTGTATTTATTATTCATTATCATTCTTCCCATTTAATAAAGCTTGTTTATATTTGGTATTCCCTTTAAAAAAATTATAAATTTTATTTAGATTTATCATTTTTTTCTAATTAACCAAAAATTCCCTTGAAAATTATTTTCAGGAAAAAGTAGTTTAAAAATATGTTCCCCTAGCACCTAAAAATATTAATTAAATGAAATACATTCCATTAACATAACACTTTTAAACAGTTGCTATGCTCTATGAAAAATGTGCTGATCTTTCTTCTTAAATTGATTCACTTCAATCTCAAATTTAAAATAATAATGGATAAATAGAAAATGAAGAAGTTCAAAAACAACCTTAAATTATCTAAGAACCAACTTCAAAAGTTCCAGAAAAGTAGTATCCCCAACCATAAATTGATAAAGATTCATAATAAAATGCTTAAATAGAGGAGGAAAAATAGAATTAAGATAAAAGTATATTGAAAATTGGAAAATCAATTGAAAAATCAATTAAGATGAAAGTCTCCTTAACTTGTGATCATTGTAACAAAATTTTCTAAACTGAAAGACAGTATAAAAAACATAGATATGGTATTAAATATAGAGGTTCAAAGGATAAATCAAAGAAAAAATCTTAGATAGATCAACATTCAAATAATTAAAGTGAATTAAAAGAGATAATGGAAGAAATTGACAAAAAGGAATCAGCAAATTAAAACTCCTTTGAAACATTTCAAATACTTCTTTGATTTGAAAAAAAAAATATAAATAATCAAAATATTATATAATAATTATGATTTTTTGGAAAAAAGGAAAAAAAAAGTCCTTTTATGTCTCTTTTTAGTCTCTTTTGGATTTTCAAAGAATTTTTTATTATATATTTAATATAAAATGTCTGAAATTTAATAACAAATGCCACATAGTTCTAAATTAGATTAAGAATCAGCCACTAATGCTAAAAATCATTTGTTGTTAGTTAATGTAATAAATCTTGTGTAAGTAAAAGAATGTTACAGAGTTATCTAATGAATTACTATAAAGCTACAAGCATGAGATTGATCAATTAAAATAGGAGTTACATTTGATGAAGCAAAGGATAACAAATAACAATGAAGAAATTAAGAATACCACTTAACCAACTCTAGATGCAATGCTAAGAGATTTGAGATAAGTAATAATTAATTAATCTAGGCAATTAATACATAAAAAGATGAGAATTCTAAATTGTAAAGTTAAATCACAGAATTGAAAAAAGAAAAAAGTCAAATCTAGTAGTTGATAATAGCAGCAACATAAAAGGTAGCAGAACTTGAACATTAAGTAGGAAATTATACATCTGCTTGATATTTATTATTAAATATAAGTTATTATCTTAGAAACAAATATATATATATATATATATATATATATAGGAATATCATTATGAAAAGAGATTCAATATATAAAATAATACATCAAGCTAATCAAATTTTTAATAATTTTTATTTTAATAACCATAATAGAATGTCTGATTCTGACATCAAGTTAAAAATAAAGGAGGTTATAGAAGCTACAATTTTATCAATAGTTCAAGAATAGTCTGAGAAAATTGAAAAGTTAGAAAAACTTGTTGAATAACAATAAGAAAGAATTCAATTATTAGAATCCAAGCTTTTTGGATCAGAATAACAAAAGACATTTAGAAAAGATAATAAACATCATACTACTAATCCAATTTAGCATACATCGTAATAGAATTAAATTTAGGCATAGAAACCAGATGCTACAATAATTAAAAGCTAATTGAAAAAATTAGAATAAGAAAGAGAAAAAACTTAAGATCATAAATAACTCTCCCAATCTAAACCAAAATTTTAACAATAGAATAGTTAATAAAATATTACATAATCTGCAAATCATAGAAATAATTAAATTAAACATTAAGAAGCCATTAAAGCATTACCTGATCCAAAAAAGTTAAAAACTCAAATTCTAGAATCTTAAAAATAATTCAGCAATACATAACCAATTAAATTAAACAACTAACCTAAATCTCATTCTTCATCTACAAAAGAACTTATAGGTTTAAAAAAAAGTCCATCATAATCTTTAACTATAGTTAGTGACTAATAAATTAAAACTGCTTCTAGTCCTAAAAATTGTTAAAAATCTTTATTTCATGGATTAAAATAAGAAGCTATTTCACCATAAAATTCATTAAATAATGCTGAAGATAACCAATCTGAAAATTAGTAATCAATATAAGCTTCTCCTATCAAAGATTAACAATAAGTATCACTCTAACATCTAGATGAAAGTGATGCTTATTCTTAAAATCTGGAATCTTAAACTTAAAGAATTGATTCTCAATAATTAGAAAATAATCAAGAAATTTAAGAATAAGATGAAGATATTATCCTTTTACCTATAGAATTCAAAACAATGACTATTGATTCATTTGAAATTATAGAGATGAATTTTGTAAGTGATCTCCTTTAATAAGAAGAAATACCTGAATCTGTTAAATAAGTGATATACGTTTTTCTAGTTATAATTGAGGATTTCAATGCATATTAAATTGAAGATTAAAAATTTTGGGATAAAGCATCTAAGTTCTTGTAAGATAATGAAAAATAATTTCGTAAGTTTTTTTATTTATTTAGCTTTATTCCTGTAAACTATCAAAGAAAAATAATTTAAGAAATCACATCTAAATTCAATTTCATAATTAATTAACAAAAACCCTGATGTCATTGATCCTGATAAATTTGAGGATATAGATGCATTAACATGCACCTTAGCCTATTTTATAAAAGACTTTCATAGTGCTCTTAAAAAGCTTTAAGTATGATTCTAAAATTATTGCTAAATATAAAATAATTTTAATCTTTTTTTTTGTTATCAAAAAATTGATTTTATTTTATAGAATTTAAATAGATCATATCATAATCAAAATTGAATAAAAATATCATCTTTATCTCAATAATATATTGATCGTTGTATTCCCTTCGTTGTGGATTACATGTAATTTTTTATCTTTGCTTTAGATTTGTCTTATTCTTTCCCTTACCATTATACAATCATAGGGTATTGACCAGGTCCAGGTAACAAAACCTATTTTGATTTACTCTTTTTTGGATCTTTGAATCTCGTATCAGTTCCAAAAGTCTAGATAAAATTATAAAAATTACATGTTTATCAACTCTTTCCTTTTTTTTAGAATTTACTTATAATTTATTAAATGTTGTAAATGAAAGGGGTTCTGGATTATAAGAACCTACATCAGGTAAAGCTGATTTTCCTCTTTTTTTTGCTTAATCTTTATGTTTAGTAATAAAATCAGAAGGTTTAGTTTCATTTTTCTTCAATTTTTTTGATATAGGCTTGAATAAAATAAGATATTACTCTAGGATTATAATTTCCAGGACCTGGATTGATTACTGCTAAGTGTTATATTTCATTTAAATAGGTTGGTCTTTCAGATGCTCTAATAATAATTATTAAAATAAAATACTCAATTTTTTTCTTTTTTTATTCTTCAACTTATTTCAATACTTCATCCAATGGTTTTTCAATGTTATATTTTCCAGAACCTGGAACACCTCTTAATTTTGCTTCCTTAAATATTTAATCAATAAATGTTGTTCTAAGATAATTCTCCATTAAAACTACCTTTTTGGAGGTGCTGACCTTGAACGAGTTGTTTAAGCCTCTATCACCCAAGGCTTAACGATATCGTATTTATTTGGAGCTGGTAATTTTTCATAAATCTTCTTTTAATCTTCCAAATAATGTCCTCTTCTTGTTACATATCCTAAATTTTTTTGACCTAAAATATGAATTTGCAATTTTTACCTTTCTTTTAAGCAGAAAACTTTCTCTCTTCCATTTGCTTAAGTGGATCAGCATATTTTTTAGGAACTTCATATCCTTCAATTCCAAAAGCAGATGTTTATTTTGTAGCTATTTTGAACATATCCTCCATTGAAAATTCTGATCGACTAGTTATATATTTTACCTAAATTTGGGGCAGCTGATTAAACTCTTCTCATATTTGATCTATTTATAATACAAATTATAATATATATATTGATATTTAATCATAAAAATAAAGTAATTGAAGATTCAATCTAAAAAAGATTCCTATAATATTGAAATAATATTATTATTTTCAAATATATTCAATTATTTTAAGCAATCTTTATTCAATAACAATTATATTTCATTTAATAATTTATGATATCTAAATAAAATTATATAAAATTACATTATAAATTGTGAATTTAATTTAAGTATACATAAATTGATGTTAATATTTATTAATTTGATGTTGTTTAATATCTTTAAAAATCATTCAAAACTATTCTCAAATTTAAAACACAATAAATGATTCAACTTACTTAAAAATTGATTAAATAATCTTCTAATTAGTTACAATCAACAAAAGATTAAAAAATATTAATAAAATTAGGATGACTGTTATTAAAATAAAAGCTATGAATCAAATATTTGATATATTTACAATCTATAACTGTAAGCTTAAGAAAAATACAATGCAATTAAAAAATTTCAAAAAATAACTTTATTTATTTATTTTATAAACAACCTGAATAATATATTTATTATATCAATAAAAATTTTAAGATAAAAAACATTTTATTAAAAATTTATTTAGAAATTTTGTATTTCATTTATTTAATTAATAGCCAATCTCATTACCTTATATACTATATTATTATTACAAACTTTCTTAATTCAATTACAATGTTTCCCAAAGGGATTACTTAGATAATTTTTCGCTCAATATTTTTTCATTTATTAATCTTTGTAATCAGTTGAATACATACTAGATAATATACTTATATATATAATTTGAACATATAATGATTTTACTTTACTGGATAATATTTGAGATAACTATGATCTGCTTTTATTTATTTAATAATATATTGAGAATTTCATAGCCAAAATATATGAATACAAAAACTTTGATATTCTAAAGGAGTACTATAAATTCAGAACAATGGAAATTATTACAAAGAGATGTATATAATTATATAAAAGTTTTTAGCCTTAGTTGTTTAAACTTGCTTAACAATTAAACAGAAATCGAACTTAATCAAATATTACAACATCAAAACAGATGAAAATAGGCAATCAATCTATATCAAGAATAAAATTAGACTCTATAAAAATTGATTCCAACGATGATACCTTATAACAGAATGAAGAAAAATCAAAATAAAAAATGATTATTGCAAGCAGATCAGGTTAATTTATAAGAAAACTTAACCTGAATAATTAAGTGTATATAAAGAAAGTTTATCAAGGAAATTATTTTTTTGATAAAATAAAAGAAATTCTAACAAGTGGACTTAAAGATAATTGTCCTTTAAAAAAAATGAGTAGAGATGCTCTCAATTAAATACACATGATAATGACTTATTAAGAATCAATCCCTGAAGTTTCTCTATTATATTAAGGGAAATCATAAAAATAGATTAAAATAGTCTTTGATCTAGATGAAACTCTAGTTCATACAGAGGAAGTACAAAAAGATAAAGTTTATGATTTTAAAAATAATGAATTTGGATTGTTTATTAGACCATATTGTCGTCATGTATTAAAAGAGTTAAGTTAACTTGCAGATTTATTTGTATTTACATCTGCTAATTAAAAATATGCAAAGACAGTAAAATATTATTTATTAATTTTTAGATAATAAATCTCATTGATCCAGAAAATACTTACTTTAAGGGTCATTTTTACAGAAATCATTGTATTTCTTTATAAAGCAGAATGTAACTAAAACATTTAGGAATTCTATCAAATAACTATTCTAAAACTGTTATAATTGATAATAGTCCAATTTTTTATATGTATTATATTGATATTAAGTGATTTAGGGGTTAGCCATATAATGGTATACCAATAGCTCCTTTTATTGATGATGCTCAAGATAATGAATTAATGAAGTTGCTAAATTTTTTAATAGAAAAAATTATATAATCAGATGATGTTAGAGTTACAATTAAAAGATTCTTTCAATATGATATGTTTAGGTAGTTTTCTGATGGAGTCACTGCATTCAACATATTATATAATTGAAGATAAGTTTTAAATTTCATGATACGTTAATTCTCTATCATATTTTTAAGTTAAAATTCAATAAGACTTTATTTAAGTGTTTATATTTATTTATTTGAATTTAGATATTCTATTAGATATGATAATAGTTATCTCTTTATATTTGTAATCCAAATATTACATATTTGTTTAATTATTATTTACAATTATTCAATTTAATAAGAGAAATTGTTCCTCTTATTTAAGAGAAATATTAGAGTTGGAGTATAATATTTTTTATTTAATGGTTCATAGAATACATTATTAAATAATATTTATTAACAGCTTTTTAAATTTTGTTTTAATTGAATGCATTACAATAATCACAACAGCAAGACCTCTGACACAGAAAGTGAGGTATAAAAATGGAAAGAACGAGCTTTGAAATTAGAAAGTGGATTTAAAGTAAAAATGTATAAATAAATAGGAATTATAATAAATGATGGAAGAAACAGATGATATGAGGAATACTTTAGAGAAAAAAATAATGGAAAACTAATAATTATCAATTGAGAATAGTAGATTAAAAGATAGATTGTTAAATATTGATATTCCTGATAAAGTGTTTTCTAACAAATTATTTGATGATCATGACATAAAAGAAAAAGAATTAATAATATAGAAATTGGAATAGGAAATAATCGATAAGGATAATCAAATTCTCAAATTTAAAAGAGAAATTGAATCGATTAATGTATCTGAAATTTGAATATTTAGAGAAGATCTAAGTTAAAAGAAGAGGAATTACATAGATAATATTAGGCTAAGTTAGAAGATTTATAAATACTATATAAAAATGATGCAAGTGATAACTAATAAGAGAAATTTTAATTGACAAAGAAAATGGCTGATATGGAATAGGTAGGTTAATTTTTCATTATTTTTAGATTTTAACATACAGAACAGAAGAAAATTAATTATTGATTAATGAATTAAATTTAAAGAATGAATAAATAGTAGAATTGAATAATCATAATAAATTACTTGTAGAACTAAAAAATAAAGAATTTAAAGATACATCAATATAATATTAAATATCAACTTAATAATAGATAAAATAAATGGAAGAAGCTATTGCTTAATATAAAAGAAGTTAAGAGTCAAATTTAAGTGAAATTGAGCAATTATTATAATTTAAACAATAAATGACACTTAAAATAAATGATGTATAATTTTTATATATATTCTTATTAGCTTTCATCAACTAATTAACATTTAATAATTGAGAATGAGAGTTTGAAATCGACTCTTTTATTATTTTAGAAACAAAAGGACTAAGATGATTATATGTATGAAGATTAAAAAAAAAAAGAATCATTACATATAAAGAGATATTATGAAACATTATTAGAATAAGTAGAAAAGGAAAATAGAAGTTTGAGATTACTATTAGAATAAAAAAGTAGAGAATTAGATGATATGTGGAATTAAAATAAAAGATTTTGATTCATTTTTCAATTATGAAATAGAAATCAAAATTTAATTATATTTGGTTTGGTTTAGTTTTAAAATAGTTTTTCATGATTTTCAAACTAATTTTTTTAAAATTATGCTTTAATATTAACTCAAAGTTTTAATTCATTTCTAATTGATCTAATTATTTATAAATGAAGTAGAGATCGTACAGAATTATGATTAATTTTCTTGTATTTTATTTTAATATTGTAAAGGTAGCTGATCTTTATCTTTATTCATAAGATATTTTTCAATGAAATCTATATTAATATTTCTAAAATCTTCTCATTTATTCATAAAAATTTGATAAAAAAATAAAAATGTTAAATATTAAATATTAAATATTCTCTAATATAACTTGTATGAATCATTTAATGGATAATGAAAATAAATAGGTTGATGGACTATATATGCTTGTTAAACAATTAAAGTATCTATTTAGCTATTTTTATGAGAAAAGAAATAAATTGAAATAAATCAAGAAAATTATTGATTATTATTAAATAATTATTAGCAATTTTGAATATTTCATTCTTCATCTCTTTATATGTTTCTATTGCTCATTCCCATAACATCATTATATTATGATTATTATTTATAAGGTTAGAAAGTGGATAACTTGTTGTCTTATGTAAGTTATTAAAGTTTTTAATTTACTGTCAATATTTATTCCTCACTTGGATTTATTCTATTAATTATAGATGTTAATTTATTACTTCTTATTAGAGTTCAATGCTTATATTTATGGTGGTTAAAGTTAAACGGCATTCTATAAAGGTTACCTTTTAACAGTATTTTTATTCTAAATAGTACCTAAAGCAGGTAAATTAGTGCCATTTCTTTTGATAATTGAATTTTATTTAGGTTACATGCCTAATTTATTATTAATTCCATTCTATTATATATTTTTATAATTTACTTATATAGTTTGAGGTCCTTTTGATGTACTTCTTTATTATTTTTCTTTTTCATCTTTTTAATTTTTTGAACCATTATCAATAGGTTTTGTTTGAGTTTCTTAATATGTTTATGCTAATCTAATGGCTGTAGATTTTGCAATTTTCTTTAATTGTTATTATCTATTATTAAAGGAACCTAAATATGTAGTAAAAGTGCTATTAATTGGCAATTTAATAGGAGTTCCTCTACAGACTAAGTCAAAGCCTCCAATTTATTCTTCATTTCCAGTCAATACTTTTTCCAAATCAATAATAGTAAATACATCATCTAATAGTCCACATTTCAATTCAAAATCAATAGGCGTATTAGATGTCATTGATGGACTATATTTTATATCTTATATATATGTACCTGGCATTGACTTCTAAAAGCCATGGTTTTAATGTTGCATCAAGTAAAATATCAAATCCATACAATTCAAAACAATGTTTATCATTAATTATAATTTTTTATACAGCTTATAATGACCTAATCATTAACATCTATATATTATAAAAAGTTTCTGCAACTTTCTCTTATCCAAATTTAGTCATCAAAAATAATTTTAGAGTTTATATGTTCCATTTACCTCCTAGTTTTTCATCATAATTATCAGATGTTTTTTAAATTGCTACATTAGTTAAATGAACATCTATGATAATAATTTGATCTTTACATGTATTGGAGATGTCCTCATTATCATAACGATGATGAGTAAATCTTGCAAAACCAGTTCTATATAAATATAAAGTTAAAGGCTAGTAAGATGTACATAATAAATATATTCTCATATCGAATTTTTTACCTCCTATTAAGAGAGGATCTGCTATATATTTTTAAACTATATAAGCTTCTGCTTATTAGGCTTCTTAATTAAAACGAAGTGTATTTTTCCATTAAGATATTGATTGTAGTTTATTGAAAATAAATATTCCTTTACCTTAAGATTTACCAATCTAATTATAATTTTTTAAAATACAGGTTTCATAATCCAAGGAGTTTTCGATTCACCATTTTAAGATTATCTTTTGAACTCTTCACAAAATATTGGATACTCACTAGGAAGATGAAATGTTTAAGGAAAGAAATTATAACTGAAGATGTAAATAAATTAGATTACTTATTAGCTTCCTCATTTTTACCTTCTCTTTCTAAATTTTTCTTATATCTTTTTAAATTCTTAATCATCAAATCTTTTCTTGTTAACTATATATAGAGTTGTTAAAAATACTTCGTAATGATTTCTAAAATGATTTATTTTTTGATTAGGCTACAAATGTGTATGATCCATAACCTCATGAATCCATTCTTTTTCAGCCCACATTATATCCCAATCATCTCCTTCGACTTCCTTCCATTACCTTCTTTTTAATGCCTTGCTTTATATTTTATTATGCTTACCTCTAAAATGCAGTTTCTAAATGAAGTCTTAAATTTTAAATTAGAACTAAAAGCATATATCTTTATAATTACTAATGATTTTGATAATGTTCTTTTTTAATATACTTTCTAAAATATTCAGACATAGTTGTATAATTGTTTATTATAAAAATAATGATTTTTAAATAACATTTTTTATTAAAATAAGTCTTACATGTCTAGTATTTGATTATTTGAATAGATATATGATAAAGATAGTGAAATTTATGAAATAAAAGTAAATAAAATTATGAATTAAAAGAATAAATTTTTTATACATTTTTCATTTAATTCTTTATAATATTTACTATTGCTTTGACACTTTATAATCAAACAAATAATTAAATATTTAGTAGCATAATTTTGACATTTAAATTAAACTAAAATAAATTTTATTTACTTTAATAATTATAACAAGATGTACTCATATGCTCCATTAGGTGTCTCTTATGCTTCTCCCTTAGCAACATCAATAGCAAGACCATTGCCAGGTTAGAAATGATTCCAATAACATTTAGTTGGATATGCAGCCCCAGTGTCTTATGCTGCTCCAGTTTCCTATGCTGCTCCAGTTACCTATGCTCCTCCAGTTTCTTATGCTGCTCCAGTCTCTTATGCAGCACCTTAATACTCATCAATCAGAGGAGAATCTAGAGTTGAATATGTGCCATATCAAAAACCAGTGGTAGAATTAGAAGAAGAAGTCAGAACTGTTTAGGTATTAAGATGACATAAAAAATTAGGTTCCAAGATAAAAGTGGGTTACAGATTATTACCCTGTAGAATATCAAAAGGAATACGTTCCATAAGTATCTTATGAGAAATAAATTGATTATGTTCCTGTTGAAAAAAATGTTCCAAGAGTTGATTATTTAGAATATGAAAGAGAAGTATATTAATTTTTTAAATTTTATTTTAGGTTAGAAGAGCTCCTCCTGCTCCAGTCTCTTATGCATCACCTCTTTCTTACAGCTATGTAGCACCAGTAGCTCCAGTAAGAACAAGTGTTGTTGCACCAACATATGGTTATGGTTATGCTCCATCTTACAGTTATGCAGCACCAACATTTGGATATGGATCAGTTTACAGATATTGATTTTACAATCATATATTCAATTAATGCAAATTAAAAAATAAAAAATAACAATAAAAGTAATAATTTAATGTCATTATTTATGACGATTTTTGACTATATCAGTCAATCTCTAATTTTCTTTTGTCAATAAATTAAGTTTTTCTTCTAGATTATTCATTTTCTATTAATCGATATCTATAACTTTTAATAAATATTAATTTTCACATTCTAATTCTTAAATTGTTTCTTTATATTTATCTCTATAATCTAATAAATATTATTACATATTTTAAGATGATGATTTATTTTACTCTTGAAGTTAAATAATATTATTATTTTAATCCAATTATTATTTCATATCATTGTTCTCTTTTTACAATAACTCAATTTCATCATTCTATTTTTTTATTTTTTTTTATAATTCCAAACATTATGATTCATCTCTACAATATTATTTTTTATTACTCTGCCTATTTTAATTTGCTTTCTAAAATCTAACATCTACTTTTGTACTTTTCCAATTATATTTTTAATTATTAATCTTGAAACAGATATTTGTCATTTTCTTCACTCAATTTTTAATTATCTTATAATATAAATTGTACTTTCTCTTCTAAATTATTAACTACTTATTTAGATATAATTAATTGATCATTTATTTATTTGAGCTCTGTATTATTTGTCAATTAATATTTATTCATTTTCTATACATCATCTATTTTTCTTATTATTTAATTTTTAGATTAATATTATTCTTATAATTATTAATGTTATTGTATTTATTAATCTAATACATGAGCCAATTTGTTATTTTCAGAAATATGATTGGTATTTTGAGTTTCAAGTTATTTAATTCTTTATTTTAAAAATGAAGTTTCATCCACTCTAAAAGAAAATTGTTTACCAGATATTTAATTTTCTTTATTGTTATTTTAACATGATTCACTCACATAAAGCTATTTATAATTTAATGTTTGATTGGTTTAATTTTTGGTTTAATTTGTTTATAAATCAAAAGATTGATCCAATTATTATTTGAGTGGAGATGATCGAATAGCCAATGAATTAGATCTTATATAGTTAACTTCTGTAGCTTTTTAAAATACAATAGGTCTAATTCGATCATATTAATTCATTTTTAATAATTTTTTAACGTTCTTATTAGTGCTATTTCAAACTATAATAGTTTATTAAATTTATTGATATTGTTATCATATTATGAAAATACATAAATATTATTGCTATTAATTTAACTTTTAAGAATATAATAGAATTGACTCATTATTAGTATATTATATCATACTAATGGATAAATATACATTTCAATAATTTAATAAAATATTAGATTCATAAGTATTTAATTTTATAATTCAAAAAAATGTTATTGATCATTAGTTTCAATAAGATTATTCATTTTAAGCTTAATTATTTTAGAAAGATGAAACAATCAAATATTATAAAAAATCCATTAATTTGTGTAATAATAAAAATGAATGCAGATTCATTTCTAACTACAAAATGTACTAGTTTCAGTTTCACGTAATAAAAATTGAGATCTCGTTCAATATAATATAAATAATTAGATAATAGTCAAATAAATCCAAGTTAAAAAGAACTTTTAGAAAAATAAAAAGAATAACGTAGAAGTATCCATATAACATCACAATTGTAACAGAATGTTAATATTAATTAATTGTTTACAAAATCAATAATAGAATAATTAATGTAGAGATAATCAGAACTTTATATGAATTGTAATATATTATAATTTACTTTAGAATTCAAAATATAATTAAGTTATATTGTAGATAATGGAAACTTGTAATAATTTGGAGCCATTATTTGTATGACAGCTGATATACTTCTTAAAATAAAAGATTATAATAATGCTTGTTACTATTATAATTAATATGTAATGAACTTTTATAATTTGAGAGAATTTTTAATACAATTACTAAGAATCATGCTGAAAAAGCAAAAGCATTGATTGGTTTAGCTAATTGTGCTTCAGAAGTTAAATTGAATAGTGAAGCTTTAATATTATTAAAAAAAGCATTGTAATATGCATGGTTGAGTAAAGAATATGAATTACAAATATATGAAAAATTTGCATTAAATTATTATTACTTAGGATAAAGTGATGAATAATATTATTTTCATGAAAGAGGATTGTTAGGAATATTTGAATCTGATGATTCTCCTATCAAATAATTTAGTTGTGAATCCTTAAAAGATTAAATTAAAAAATGTAATTTAGATATTAAGAGTATTTGTCCATAATTATTACATTATATGAATTTACCTATTTTAAGTAGAAATGAGTTGATAAGTACTAATCCAAATTCAATAAGAGGATTCTAAGTTAAAAAATAAGTTATCTACACAGTTACAGAATAAATAGAAATATTATTATAGAAGAATGATGAATTCTAACATTAAATTAATACTCCTAAACATTAAAAATTAATTAAAAATGGAAATAATATAAAAGGAGGTTAATTTAGAGTTGTAAATTCTTTTTAGTAAACAAATTCTAAAGAAAGAAGAAATTATGATTTAACTGATACAACTATTTATAAATTGCCTTATGAAGTTTAAGTAAGTAATCGTATTAAATATCCATATATTCCTGAAGATATTAATGCAAAATTACATGAACAATTAAGGAATACTAATAGGACTCAAAAATTTGGATTAAGAAACAAAGTCATACTTAATCATTAGAATAGGGAAGACATGCATTATAGAAAGAATGGAATCTGTATGTACAGATAATTATATGCTATATTTTAATATTATTCATATTTATTTAATTGAAAATATTTTGTATTATGGGTATTTGTTTTCAAAAAGAAGATTCCACTTAAGTTGATGATTCAAAAACTAATAATAATAATAATAATATACTTCCATAAGATGCAAAACAAATCAAACTAAATGATCAATTGAACATGGTATGTTTAGAAGATTTTATATTTACAAAGGTTAATTAATGTTTTATCTAAAAAGGTTGTAGGTAGAGGATCGTTTGGAAAAGTCATGTTGGTATAACATAAAATGACAAAAAACTATTATGCAATGAAAATATTAAGAAAGGATATTATATAATAAAAAGGATAATAAGTACATACAATGAATGAAAGATAAATTTTAGAAGTTGCTTAACATCCCTTTATTGTCTAATTGCATTTTGCATTCTAAACTCCTGAAAAATTATATTTAGTTACTGATTTTCTTGCTGGAGGTAATATAAATATTTCATTATAGGTGAATTATTCTACCATCTAAGAAAATCCAAAAAGTTTCCAGAAGAAAGAATGAAATTATATGCTGCTGAATTAATATTAGCATTAGATTATCTTCATTAAAAAGGAATTATTTATAGAGATTTAAAACCAGAAAATATTTTAATAGGAATTGATGGTCATCTAAAATTGACAGATTTTGGTTTATCTAGAATCAATTTAAAAGAAGGAGAAAGAACTTATACATTTTGTGGTACTCCTGAATATTTAGCCCCTGAGATTTTACTAGGTTAAGGACATGATTAATCAGCAGATTGGTGGAGTCTTGGTGCACTTATGTATGAAATGATTGCTGGAGCTCCTCCATTCTATTCAAATGATAAGGGTATGATGTTCAGAAATAGACTTGAGAAAAAAATAGAGATGAAACCATGGTTCTCTCAAGAGGTCTCTAGTTTGTTAACAGGATTATTGATAAATGAACCTACTAAAAGAATTACTATTGATTAAATCAAAGCTCACTCTTTCTTTAGTTCTTTAACTTGGGAAGATGTATATAATAAAAGAATCAAACCATAATTTATACCTAAACTTAAAGATGAATTAGATTTATAAAATATTGATCCTATTTTTACAGAAGAAGAGATAACTGATACTCCTATAGATACATTAAAAGTAGGTACATTTGAAAAATTTACATATGCGAATTCATAAATATTCAAATAATGATTATTGTTTTATAAATTTAAGTTTATATAATCTTTAAATCGATTCTAGAATCTTCTTATTTATAAAGAATAATCATATTTTTTGTTTATAGATTTTAATTATTTCTCTAAAATCAGATACAAAAGTTAATAAATAAAGTTTAATGCTATATTTTAATTCATATTTATTAACTATGCGATATCATTTATTAATTATATTAGTTTAATATATATATATATTAATACAATTTATATATCTATGATATAAATATTATTGACAATGATTTTAAAAAAGTTATTTTTTTTTTTGAATCTCAATTATACTTAAATGATTTCAAGGAATTAGTTTGTTTAAAAGTTGCTTTAATTTAAATTATCAAAATTATATAGCTTCCAATATTAAACAAATTACATATTATATAAATTAATAATTATGGGACTTTGTTCATCCATGCATCATGGAACTGATTTATCATAATCTCTAAGATTAAAAGCCATACAAATTTTCTAAAAAATTGATAAAGAGAATAAAGGAGTAATTGACAAGAAAACCACTCAATAATTTTGGTATTTATTCTTTCTATTAATTTCTTTTAGGTAATCTAACTTTGCTAAGATTAATACTGAAGCTCTATTTAAAGCAGTAGATTTTGATAATTCAGGTGATATTACTATTTAAGAGTGGCTGACTTTTTGGAAAATTGTGAAGAAAACTGGGTATACTGAATAAGAAATTAATGAAGAAGTATAGCATACATTCTAAATTTAGCTTGATGAATTAATGCAAGGAAAAGCTTGGGTTTAATTTAGAGTTGTTGATTAATTTATTTAAGTTGATAAAAATAGAAGAAGATCTCAAATTCCTCAAATAGTAATGGAAGAATAAATGATGACTCTTAGAAAAACTAAAACAGCTGAAATGAAATGATAATATATTTGTATTCATATTTGTACTAATATGTATCTCTGATATCATAATTTTACTATTATTAAATAAAATAATTTATAAATTACTAAAGATGAAGAAATTTATTGTAGTCTGAAATAATATTCTTATCATTTAATGTCTTTAAACTCCTTATTTCTTTTAAAAGATCAAATAATAATAATAAATAATTTTTAATTATTCTAACAATATATTTTTATATATATTGTTACTTTTATAAAAGATGCACTTTTTCTTGTTCTATTTTCCTATATATAGTTTAATTCTTTTTAATTAAGCTAACTCATTTCAAATTTTACATTTTATTTTTCTTATTAACATATTTGCCAAATATTATTACAATTTTTATTAAAATGAATTAATAATTTATTTTAATTTTCTTATTTTATGTATGATTAGTATAAAAAATATCTCTTAAATAGTCAGTTGATTGGAAGGAATACATACAGAATTTTAGTAATATATTTAGAATTCAAAATTTGTTAGGTTTTAAAATGGTTTCAATTTTCAAAGGAAATAATTTATTGATCTATTTATTTCTTATTGATTTAAGAATTACTATTGCAACATGCATCAGATTCTTATGGTTTTTTAATCTTATAAAAGTCTATTGGAACTTGTGAATAGAATTCATAAATAAGTGAGTATTAAATTCTAAATTTTTTTCGCTTTGATCCTTCGAGAAATATATCAGAACTAAATTAATTTTAATTTTTTTTAATTAAATTAATTGCTAAAATTAATAGGGAGATTATAATTATTTTTTTACAAATCTTTATTTTATCTAAGATTTTTTAGAATTATAAAAAGAGATTATCTGTAATATATATTTTAGAAAAAGTAAATAACTTAAATGCATTTTATTCACTAATAAATTCTCGTTTAATTAGTAAAATTAATTAACTTAGATTTAGAGAATTATGATTTCTAATTAAATTTTGTTAAACTTGAAAGTAAGAATTTAAAATTTTATAGAGAACATTGAAAATGAAAAATATATTTATGTTTATTTCAAATGCTTTCAATTGAAAAATGAATAGATTTATGAGAAAGTACTGTATGCAAATCACATAAATAGTAAGAATAATAAAAATTTTGTTCTTTCTTTATTGCTTATATATTTAATAAACTTCATTTTTATTGATCATTTGGAATATCTATTAATTCTACTTTAGGATTTGTATCTTTTTATTAATCTTATTGTTCTTAGATGATTTCAGGTATTTCTTGGACCTAATTTTATACATAATATTATTAAGGAATATTATTATGATTTACTACTTAGTATTCATAAGATGATGGAACAGGTATTTATTACTAAACTTAGAAATGATCATTTTATTTATGTTCTTACATTAAATAAGGATTTTAATTAGGGATTTAATTTTAATAAGGAATTTAATGTTAATAAGGAATTTAATGTTAATAAGGAATTTAATTTTAATTAGGAGTTTGTTAAGGAGGTTAATCTTAATAAGGTATTTAATTATCTTACTATTTCTTTAATCTTTATTCTTTTTTATATTATTTAAAACATTAAAAGGTCGACATAGCAAAGTCAATTATTATCATAAGACAAATATTAATGAGGAGAGAATAAGAATCAGATAAAATAGAACCACTCAAAGTAATATTTATTTAATTCATCCTCTCTTATGCAATGATTGGAAAACATTATTATTAATGTTATTTTTCCAAGTTTAAGACTAAATTATAGATTAAAGCATAGTTAACAATAACAGTTACACCTAATAAATAAATTAGTATTTCTTTAATGATTAATTATGCCTTTGAGTAGCAACTAGGACAACAATCATAAAAACAACGATTCAGTTCATTTAACACTAAAATAGTTATATATAAAAATAAAAGAATTGAAAATGATTATTAACAGGTAATTAATGTCTTCTAAATTTCAATCCTTGTATTGAGATTTTTAATATATTGATAACTATTATATATAATAAATATTACCTATCAATCCTGCAGTCTTATCTAAAGTGTATTTATTTTTAAGCAAGCAATTAATATTCAATATCACTACTAATATTATACAATGGTCTTTCAGATTGAACTAGGGCTGTAACATTGTTAAAATTAAAAAGTGCTTCTTCATTCGTTGTTGAAATTTAGTGATAAGTATCATCTAATTAACAAAATGATGGTCTTAGTGATAACAGTTTATAATCTTCATATAGTTTAGGATTTAAACTCAATTCATTTTGATTAAGACATACACCCTCTCCTTTAACAACAGTCATATTTATTAATGGAGTAGTTTCTTTTTACAGACTTATATAAACATTAAATCCATTATCATAAATTAAACTATAATTATGTTGTCTCACATCATAATCTGTTAGTTGATATTAAGTAATAATTATATCTCTAATTGGGCAAGATTCTTCTTCTAGGACACATTAAAAATTTTCAGACTGTTAGGTTTTACATATTTTGTAACCATTAGCTTTACAATCTTCCTCTGTTGTTATTTTATTTTATAATAAGTCATAAAATTTTAGTTGAGATCTTAATCCACAAATTTAAACTGTTTAAAAAGAGTTCTAAGAAGGTTAAACCCATTTAAACAAATCTATTGGTCCTTTTTGTTATTAATTAAAACATCCATTAGTTAATCGCCATTCATCACATCCATACATCAGAATTTATTAATCATTTAAACAGATACACCCATGTTCTGTTTATGGTATTTAATAATTACTAAGTGTTTCATATTTATCTGGACACTATTATTCTAATATTTAAATATCAATCAGTGCACCAATTTACCAATTTTAAAATATATTTGTTAATTCTTCAGTAGAGATATTAGCACCAAGTGATACCTTATTGGTTAATACTAGTGCCACTATTGATAAAATTAAGATAAGAATTAAATTCAAGAATCTAAATGTCCTTTTCTTTCTCCCATATATGTTTTCTAAATAGCTGCTATAGCAACTAAGAACGCAACAAATGCATGCCCAAAAACCTGATCTTTTCTTATCTGGGAAACAACACTCGCATAAACAACAAAGAATTTCCATGAAGCTGTTTTTTCTTAATAAATTTTATTTATTAAATTGTATCTTTAATATGAATGAGATTTTATAAGTTAATTTCTAATATGCATATTTTTCAAAATGATTAATTATAACATAACTACCCAAATTTTAATTCTGTATATATATATAAAAAATAAAATATACTTAGATGACTTTAAGTTCGAAAATACATGAACTTTTATTATTAAGTTAAAATGATAAAAAATATTCATTAAACTCATATAATTCTTTAAATTTACATAATAATATAATCAAAAATATAAATACTCTTAGTATGCCCATTTAAGTATTTGTAATAGCAGAAATTGACCCAAATAGTATATAAATTATCAATCGATACTATTAAAAAGAAAAAGAATCAATATTTTTAGAAAATAAGAAAATTATAGTAAAATGCTAGCACTCATTCATTAATAAGATCAATTTATATAATCCCATACATCTATAGCTTGATTGCTCTGAATATTTCATATTTAAATATATAAAGAAAATTTTAATTTAAATTGTAAGAAATGTTTTAAACAGTTTTTTTAAATACTCAGAAATACTCATAATAAGTAACTTCATATAATCTATAGAGAAATTGGAGGCTATAGTTAATACTTAATGTTATATTTATTAAATATTGAATTTAAGAAGTTTATTTTTATATTTAATTAATCAATTATGTTGTTTTTTCATAAATTTCCATTAAAAAGGAAAAAAATTTGCTTCTAATTTTAATTCATAAATATCAAGAGATTAAATTCTCTGAGGAATTTAAGATAAGGAATAGCTAAAAATAAGGTTGCAAATTAAATATCCAACCATATAATTATATTAATGCATAAGAGATGGATGAGATGAATATATTAATAAATAGAAAAGCAATCACACATTTATAATGACTTTTTTAATTTTTTAAATATATAATTCATCTTCATTATAATTAATAATATTATTCAAAACTTATCTAATTCTAGTTTATCAAAGTGGATTAAAAATATTAAATTAATGAGTTAATTATTTAGGAATAAAAGCAATATTCCATTTAATGTATAAAAAAGTTATTCCTTTAAATAATCTAAAGATCAAATTACTTATAAAACTTAAAAAGTTATAAAAAATGTTATTTTGCCCCTAAAATTCTTTTGTTTTAGTTTTTAGATATATTCTAGCATAATTCCTTAGAATATTGTTATTTTTTATTTTCATTAAAATATCTATTAAGTTTTGATATTAAAGTTGAAATGAATAAATAAAACTCTTAATAATTGGTTTTAATAAAAAATATAAACAATATTTAGAATTTATTAAATATTACATATTTTATTATTTGATTCTAAATATTAAGCATGTGATGTCCAATTATAAAATAATAGATAAATTTATAAGATTTAAGTTTTAATTAATTATATATTGAGAAAAGAGTATCATTGTTATAATATTAAGAAATTTAGTTTTATTTTTAATATTAATCATTTACAATTTTGTTAAACCTATAAAAACCTTAGATGGATTTATCTAATTCATCGTAAATTAAGATAGTTATCAATAATGAGCTTTTTGTATTTTATAAAATTATATTCAAATTTTTTAAGTTTTACTAATTTTCTTAAAAATATAATCTGGTTTACTTGATACTTTGATGATCTATTTATTTATAACATTATTATTGATAATTACAATAAAACTTCCAAAAATTCAATTAGCAAATCAAAACCTATTTCTACCTGTTTCTAACTTTATGAGTAGTTGTTGAAGTATAATTCTGATTCCTACAAATAATTGACCTTCTTTATACGGATTATATTCTTTTAAATTACAACTTTATAAAAATTAAAATGCTATCTTCACTTGTATTTTAGTTAATTCTAAATTAAACTTATATATAAAAGCAGCTAATAATAATTCAAAAACAACTAATATAATATAATGAATAATTGAAGAAATTCAACTATTATAAATATTCATAATTTATTATTGTTTCTTACTTAAATATGATCTATCGAAAATTGAAATTTAGATTTAATACAAAAAAATAAGTAAATTCTTTCTATTTTCTCTATTTACACTTTCCCTATTTACTTTTTTAATAAGTCTTCAAATCACTATGATCCAGCTGCTATTATTCTATATAAATAAATAAATAAATTTATTTGAATTGTTATGAGAATTCATTTTTTGAGTATTAAGTTTAATAAAAAAACAAACATTATTCATCATCATGTTTTTTTAAAATCAATCATTTTTTGAATTAATAAAATTGATTAATGTGAGAAAATTAAATTTAAGATATTAATAGATTTAATAAATGTTTCAGAATATATATATATATATTAATATGGTTTTAATGTCAGGATTCGCTTTGTTCAATAGTTTCTTCTTCTTCATTTTTTTAATCCTCTATTTATAGAGCTCTTTCAAATGGAAAGAAAGTAGTTTCCTTCCCCTCTATGCATTTTTTCACATATTTCTCTAAAGCATTACAATCATTTGGATCTTTATTCTTTATATAAATGATATAATAGAGCATATGGTAGACACTGTGTTCTAAATATATATGATAATGCCATCCTTTTGTTCCACTAAATATAAAGAATTCAATATTACTTTGTATCAATATCATTTTTATCAAGACTACAAACAAAACATTTTCCTTCAATTTCTTTTACTAAGGCTTATCTTTCATCTCTCAATTCACCAAAAGTATCTAAAATAATACCAAAAATTATTTAGATAAATAAAATATTAAAGATAATGAAAAACGAGAAGTCAAAAAAGTATCTTCCCCAATATAAAGTTGGATCTTCATAAGGTTCAGGGTATATTTTCATTGAATCTCCTAAACCACTACGAAGACCAAAATTAATTGTAGATGTAACAGCTAATATAAATGTTTAACCATAAACACCATCTTCATCATTAAACATCCAATCAAAATTTGAGAATGCTATGATAGCATAAATTAATAATCCAATAAAGCCAAGAAAAGAGAATATAGCTAAATTACGGCCATTAGATGTAATTGATTTTATGATGTTTTAAAGATCTTCAGATCTCTTAATGATATCTAACAATAATACTGCATAGATATATGGATTAAAAAATGCATATACTGTTAATCCGAAAATGCAAACCTAAATTAAAAATTATTTTTACATTGTAAAAATTATCAAAATCAAAAAATGTAACGAGAATAAGCTTTTTTAATATACTTTCACTAACTTTCTATCCTTAAAATTCTGATTCAAAATATCCAATAATAGTATAATATTTCATTGTTAAAAATGTTATTGAAAATCCTGCTTCTTTTTTTAATATTTAAACTCTTTTTGCATTAGTTTCACCTCTATTATATGTAATTGATATTGGATATCTTTCTATTGCACAAAAAAATACTATAATTAAATTCAAAACTAATTAGATTATTGTTATTATCTAAATTAATAAATATAAATATTACATTATTAAGATAACTTACAAAATTTTATCCTGGTATTTTTGTATCAGATTCAGGTGCTTCTTGATTAGAACCTAATTTACTATTGACAACTATATCATGCATAAATATCAATAGAATTACTATAACCAAACATAAAATAAAAGATAAATCTTTTAATAATCTCCAATAGACTGCTCCAAAATGCATAATAAAACTATTGTTAATCTATTAAGAATGTCTCATTTAAACTTAATAAAAATCAGCTTAATCTATTAATCCTTACATTCTATCTTCATCAGTTTCTCTATTTATTTCATAAATTAAATGTTATTTAATGTTTGGAGTGACAAAATTACAAACAAAAGGTTTTTAAAAGAAAATCTTTTCAAGTTCAGATAATTCATTTTAAATTTCTATCCTACCTGTGAATTATCTATAAAATTTAAAAAATTATTATTTTCTAGTAAACTTATAATTTTCATCATTTTAAATATCATCAATCATTTATTTAAACTCATTTTAATGTGTTTATCTTAATTCATTACTTAATAGAGCATTTTATTCTTCTTAATCAAGATTCTTATTGTTTATAAAAATAGGTACAATTTTTTTAGTAGGTATTGTATTTTTTTTTTATAAATCTTCTTATAAAGGATCACTTAAATCAACAAAATCATCTTAATCTTCCTCTTATTCATCAAATATAAATATTTCTAATTATGGATCTGTTGGAAAATGTTCTGATAATTTTAGGCAAATAATAAAAATATTAAAACCTGTTTAAATAAGTAAATTGTCTTCATCAGTTCTTAATCCAAAATGACATAAATTATTAGAACAATATTTATGCTGACTAGTTTTTGATTCATCACAAATATTATCTAATATAATATTTCTCTATTTAGGTTTAATACGATCTTAATATATTGATCTTGAGATTCTCATTAATATTGTAATATTAACAGTTTCTAATATAAATTTTAAACATTTCTTATCTAATTTGCCTTATGTAATCAACAATAATAATTTAATAAATGATTGAAGTGTCTAATATGAATTATATTTTCTCTATTCATCATCTGCTTAATTTTTATTTAAATTTATAATAAGATCTTCTTCTTAATTTTATGATTTTAATAAATTGTCTTTTATTATATTTCTATTCTCTTGATGTAACTATTTAAATGATATTAAATCTTCTTTCTGTAAAATCTAATTCAATAATGTAAATAATCGTGTATTTTTACATAATTCTTTTTTATTTTCTTCAAAACCTGTTGAAAATTCAACTAAACTCTCTAATGCTTATCTATAGATTTCCTATAACTTATAAAATACTCTTTATCCTTTTTCCAATAAATCTGCTAATAAACTAGCAACTTCATTAACAATATTAATATTAGCTTGATATGAATCATCATCATATTAACGAACTAAAAACTTCTAAAAATCAACATTTACATTTTCACACATTGCCTATAATAGTTTTAATACTTTCAAACAAAGTATTTTATATTCAGTATTATTGCCTTCACATAATTCTAATTCTAATATTCTAGAATTAACATCAGTTAAAAAGAATCCTCTAAGAAAAACAAAGAATTTTTATTTAATTACTTAATCTTATTTAAGTATTTGATAGAACTTTTTCTATACATAATCATTTCCATAATCCAATAAATAAATTAGTAATTACAAAGCTTCTATCTTATGTAAATCATCAGCAGAATCATTTAACATCTCTAAAGCCAATATATCCAAATTACTATCTACTATTGCATTTTGATATTTAATAAATATCTATTATTTTTATCTTATTAATTCTTTTGACTTTTCATCCTTAGCTTCTGTAAGTGAATCAATGTCATCTTATGTTGGTCTTTTCAAAAACAAAAATATTTTACATAACTTTATTAAATAGAATTCTCTATTTAAAAATATACCTTAACATTTTTATAAAAACTCTTAAACATTATCCTCATTTAATAAATTAGTATTCTGTTTTTCTAAAGTCTTAATTAATAATTCAATCTAAATGTCATCTGATATTAAATCTTCAGAGCCTTCTAACTAACCTCCATATTTCTTATATTATTTTCCAATTTATTTACGACATGTAATTTCAAATTCTTATTTAAGATTTTCTAAGTCTTATTGCTATCTTTGATATGTTTGTACTTATTAGTTTATTACATTCTAAATGCTTTTCATTTCAAATAAGTCTCTCATGGCTTATTTAAATAAATCCCAATCTAAAAGAGCTTTACTTCTATTGTTTACTTATTCTTATCTCTTTATTTATTCTACATTTACATTATAGATTTCATCTATATCACTTTATTAAATGTAAGTTTTATAAGTATTACAAGTTAGGAGTATTTTCTAAGATCTCTCTTATTCAGTTGAGTTATTTTCAATATATTCATTAAATTAATTAATATTCACTTTATATCTAATGAGATAAACTTTAAAGTTTCTCCTAAAAGGATTTTCTATTCTTTGAACATTCTCTTATTCTTGTAACTTCTTTTCTCCTGTTTAATCCTCTTTTAAAGTATCAAACTAATCAAATACTAATTTATTCACATTTTTATCCTATTAAAATCCTATTCTAAAGTTTTAACCAAATTTTGTAATTTTTCTTTATGGAATTATTTCCTCTATTGAAGTTATTAATTCTCTATAATCATCTAAATCTAAATCTTCTTTTTTAACTCTAAAATCTCTTTCTAAAACATTAAAAATCTCCTTAATTTTTTAAACATTTTATTTAATTATTGCAAATTCATCAGACAAAGTAGAATTTTCTGGATTTTCAAGATCAGTTCTATCTTTCATTTCATCATAAGTGTAAACTAGAAAATGAATTATTCCATTTTTTCTCAAATACTTCCAATATTCACTTGAATCTCTTAATATTCCTAATTCTTTTACAAATTGAGAATCAAAAGATAGTTTTTTCTCAAAATATGTTAATTTCTATCTTTTAATTGATTCTCTCAAATCTTTTTGAATAACTTTCATATTTCTATCTTAATTTGCTAATTTTGATAATCCTTCCAAATATTTACAGATTTATTTTTAATCTAAATCTGGTATTATTACTCTGGATAATATATCTCTTACTTCATCACTTTCTACTGTATCATTAACAAACTATCCTTCTTTAACTTAATTAATATATAATTCAAATAAGCATTATAAATAAGCCCTTTTAACAATATATTCACCACTAGGAGCCAACAAAATAGTCTTTAATTATTCATACAATAATATTCTCTACATTTCTTAAATTCCTAATCTATAATATTGACAACATTCAGTTAATAAAACAATTAATTCTGAATGCAATTTCATTCTATGATAAAATAATGGATCTTTCACCTCTTCTTCACCAGAATCTAATTCTGGTACAAGAATAGCCTTATAATAATTGACTGGATCTAAAACTATTCTTAAGAATTTATTTTTTAAGATTTTAGATAATATTAAATGTTTATTCAAAGGTGCTTATTTTGAAGGTTTTTCAAAGGATTTTGTAAGAGATCTTAAAATTTTAAAATATTAAATCAAAGAATAATAAGCAATAGCATTAATATGAGTACTTCTTTGTATGAATTTAATTTCTTCCTATTCATCTCTTGTACTGTATGCCTTTAAGTAAAACTCTTAGCTTTACATTAATTAATCACCTATTTTTTAAATTCTTTCAAATATTTTATTTATCAAGTTATCATGTTCATTTTCTGGAATTGAAGATATCAACTTAATTGCTAATTTAGTAATTTTAATAGGTATATAAAATTTATCATCTGCTTATGGTTACTATATTTAAATGACATCAAGAATTTTTAATAAATACTCATTATCAGCTAAAATGGAAATATTAACTTAGTTATCTATAATAAAGTATTCCAAAATTAGAACAAGTCTTTTATAAAAAGAAACTATATCATTTGAACAATTAATTATTTAAGGATCTACTAAAAATTTCAAAAATACTAGATGCACACTAGCATTTCTTACTATATTTTAAAATGATTTCAAATATTACAAATCTTAAGAATTAGGTTTAAAAAACATTTCAAACTATTCAATTATTTTAGCTGAATATGCTTTTAATTAATCAAAAGATGCAACTCTTTTTTAAATTACATTATTTTCTTTTTAATTTGTGATAAATTTCAAAGCTCTTTTTGATAATTATATTGCTTCTTTTGGACTGATTAATTAAACACTATTAGAATTTCCATTGATAATTGAAAAGTATCTTAATTCTTATTAATTATCAATAATTTCAACTTAATTAATTTCTTAAATTGAATATTTTGGTTAAAGAAAACTTTAAATTATTCTTTATAATAATTCTTCATTTAATTTAGTTCTTTTTTCTGATGTCAATAAACAAGTAAATAATAATCCACAAATGCTATTACCATCAGGTTCTTTAAAAACACTTAAAATAGATTTAGAAACAGCAGGAGTTTTTTATTTTTTAATATCTACTTCTTAATTTACAACTTCATCAAAGACAAATAAATCAAGATCTCTTTAACTTGGAGAACTTGGATTTGATTCATTTTATTAAGATGAACTAAATAGAAATTCTAGAATTTATAGATTTAATTTTAATTGTTCAAATATTTTTAAAATAGACAAAGCTTCTAAATATACTTACATTTTTAAAATTTCATCATTACAATATTAATATGTCCATATTAACATATAGAGAATCCAATTTCTTTAAAATTACATATATAATTTTTAAGATTAATCCATTCTTTTAAGATCTTTATCTAAATTTTTATATTTTGATTTTTTTTTCTCATATAATTATTCAGCTGTAGGTAAGAATGTTACAACCCAAAGATTATCATTGACTGATTATATTAAATTATTCAAGTTTTATAGAAATGATTCATTTTCTTAAAATTTATGTATTCTTAAATCAGGAATCTATTATATAATTAAAGCAACAAATATATTAGGAAGTACAGAAAATATTCTTTAATTTTCATCTAATTAATTATAACCCAAATTTATACTATTTTTAATTATTGTCAATAAACCTAAAAAATAATGTAATTATAAATAAGCAAGACGAGAGTAATCATATTTTTATTTATTAATAGTTGCTTTTTTAGATTAAAAAATATCATAACTTGCTTCTTATAATAGATGTTCAGGATAATCTTCTTTTGTAAACATTTCTAAATAATATAAACGAACATCATTAACTTAAGTTCTTGATAACATTTTGGCAGCATATAATTTAAGTTATTAATGTTCTGCTTTAGTTTCTTTTTAATGAAGAAAACTTTAATAGTCATCACTTCTTTTTAAAGATTTTGATGCATTATTTTCATAAAAATAAAGACCTGAAGGATTTTAGATATTGAATTATTCAATGTCATCACTTAAATAACATTTTATTGTATTTGTTTAAGTATTATTATAAAATGGATCATAATTTTAAGAAATCTTAATTAAAGGATCGATATCTAAGTATAAATTACAAAATAATTCTATTAATGTTTTTTCAAATCTAAGTTCAGATTTAACATTTTATTAACGTTTTAAACATATTTCTAAGAATTTTTCATTAAGAAAACAATTTCTCATTAAACATTTTATATTCTTTTAATTTCTTCCTTTGCATAATGAAGAATATAAAGTCATAACATTCATTAAATAATTTTCATATTTCTAAAATATTGGAACCACTAATTTAACATCTTCTTATTTTACTAATTAATTTTCTTTAAGTGTTTCAAGTGTAAAAAAATCAATAACTACATCAATTAATGATGGCCTTTTAGTTAAAAATCTTTAAGCAATTCTTGCCTATTTATCTATAAATTTTAAATAAAGTTAACAAAATATTTAATTATTTTAACCAAATTCATTAGCATATTACATCTACAATCCTTTTTCTCTTTTTGGATAAAATTATACTATTGGATAATAATTATTATTCTCTTCTTATATATCTAAGGCCACTAAGGCTTTATGAAAAGGATATTATTATTCTTATTTATTTTTTGTTCCAAATAACAATCTTCTACAAGTATTCTAACATAATTAATTTGGATTCTCATATGGATCTATCATAATTAAACTTAAAATTTCTATAAATAGAGTTTAATCTTCAATATTATCTTCAGATAAATTTTCCAATTAATTAACCCATTTTTTAATATTATCCTTAGATTCACTCATATCAGTATACCTAACACTTTCTTTTATTAAATTTGATATATGTTTTCTTTAATATTTCAATTATTCTAATAAGAAATCTAAAATACTCTCCTTATTCATAATTAATGTCAAAACATAATTACTTGTATCTGAATTTCTTTAAACACACAAACTTAGAACATTATATATTTCTTATATACAATTTAATTTTTATGATTATGAAATAGCAGGATCTAGTTTCATTTTAGCAATTTTTTAAGGTGTCTTATCAACAACTTATGAATTACTATTAATCATACTACCATATATCATAAAATTGCATAATCGTTGAATTGCAAATAGTAAATTAATGATATCATTATCCATTAAAGCTTTTTATTTAAATTACAATTATTCATTAGTCTATGCTTAACCTTCATTATTTAAATACATTTTAAGATTTTCTAAAGTTTGAAATAGTTATAAAATTTCATCATATAATATCTTTTAATTATTAAAAGCTTCAAAATAATCATATGTTCTTATATCCTCCAAACCTTAAGTTGATGTCTTAATTACACCCCAATCCTATAAAAATATATAAAATTATATTAAATATTCTTATAATGAATTTATTCTAAATGCTGTTTTAGCTTATTCTGGAGTGGCTAACTTCAGTAAAAATGTTACTCTTTCTATATTTTATTTTTAACTCTTCCTTTATACAGTTACTCTATCATCTAAACAAACAATAACCAAATTTTCTTATGTTACAAAATTATCAATCTATACATTCATAACAGATTATAATTTATATGCTTCACTAAATAAAATTTAATCATCTGATGTCTTTTTAGATCTTAAATAAAATTAACATTCTTATCTTAATCCATCATAAGTTAAACTTGCAGTATGATGTGAAATTTCCAAGAATAATCCTGTACATACATGTCTTATTAAAAAAACACTATCATAATTAGCTTTTGAAAAAGTTAAACTATCAACATGTTAAATTTACCATAAATTATTTAAATTCTCTTCTGCATCTGCTGATGAATCAACACATAATTAATACATATATTCAATTTTTTCATTTCTTACTTATTATACATTAAAATAAAATTAATGTTTTGTAAATGTGATATTAGTATCATAATTTTTAATAAACACTTCTTTTTTATCAAGTCCTTCAGTAATTCTAAGTTATCTTTTAATTGAGAGATAACCACCCAAATATCTATTTTTTATTTTTATTACATCTCCACTCAAAAGAGATTTTTATTTTAATGATTATTACTTTAAATCTTATTCAGTTTTATAATCAATATAACTTGCAATTTTAATAGGAAATCCAACTTATGAACAATTAACTTCTAATCCATCCTTTTTATCATATTTTTATGTTGGCTTCTATATATTAAGAAACCATTTATTTGAACTTGAATTTTGAATTATTATTTAATCTCCATATAAAATAGGTTCTCCAGGATTTTTAACTTGATTCATTGATAAAATTCGAAAATTTGAATTTACATTGGGAATTTCTTCTAAAGATAATTCTCTACAACAATTTTCTTTTGCTAATATAGCACAATTAAATGATAGAATGCATTAAGAATATATATGTTTTAGTTATATTTCTTAACCATAGACTATATTAGATCCATAAGCAAGATCATAAAAACGTATGTTTTCAACAATTTCTTCATTAGCCTTATCTTCAAGTTCTTTTAATCTTCTTTCATAATCTAATTAACATTAATCTAAATCAATTGATTCATTTATTGCCTCTTCTCTAATATCATCTATCGATCTTGATCTTTCTTATACTAGAAAGTTTTAATATTGATATTTTTTGCCTGTTACTACCTAAAATAAGCTTTTTTAAAATGTCAAACTGCCAACCTTTTACTGTAAGCTTTTTTTAGATGGATCGGTCAATTGTTGATTTTTTCCCAAAATTTATATACACTCCAACTTATTGCTAGCAATTCCATCCCCAGATATAACTCCTTTAAAGTCATCTGTCAAATAAGATTTAAAATACACAATGTCCCCCACTTTTAAATTGAAGTTTCGCCTTTTATAATTATATTAAATACTTAGGTTGTTTTGCTGTTTCTTGATTTTGATTTAATGGATTGAAAATATGTTATTATGATAATAAATTATCAACTCCTAATTATGATTAATTTTTTTAAATTGGAATAGGAGGAAGGTCCATTTGTTGTAGTAAATTATATATAATATTAATAATAAATTTTAGAGTATGATTGTAAGAGATAGATTTAATAATATCAAATTAACTAGTTATTTACTATATTTTTATATTATCATATCTAATTATCATTAATTTTCTTTCAAATTAACAAACTAAAAATAACTGATTATTATAATACCATTTTTATTAGATAACAAAAATGTAAATTTATAAATAATTTGACTATTTTTAAGATTATAGCAAAATTAAAATATTTCATCAAATCTTCTCTAAGAATCTTATTTTTTCTTAAACACTCTTTAAAAATAAGTCATCTGCCTCTTCTTTTAATTTCTCATCATTTAAATAATATGCTTGATGTTCTTTTCTTTATGCCTCCTTTTCATACCGTTTACCTCTCTCCATTATTGATCGATAATCATGTTGTAATTTTGGTACACTACTACTTGTTTATTATCCCAACTTTGCTTATTAATTAATTCTTTCTTATTCTAATTCTTTTAAATAATTTATTGGTTTCTTCTTTTATTATTCTTCTTAATGAATTTCAATCTTCATTGATTTAGGTTAATAATAAACTGAAGAACTAGGTACCAAGCCTTTCGACAATGATTCTGTGACTTTTGTTTTGTTTACCTTTTATAGATTTAAAACGTTTTAAATTTTATGTACATTCCTCTCTATTATAATAATTTATTATACCTGATTCTTATTATGTTTATCTATAGAATTTATTACGAATTGAGTCTACTTTTGATGCACTATATTTTGCATCACCTTCTTTCAAAAAGCTATATATATGTATTATATTAAATACTCAACATATTCATCTTATAGTGAATTATCAGATTTATTTTGTAATGCTCTACTAAACTAAACATCTGTTTATACTTTGATATTTGGTTTATGATACTCTTTCACTATTTCTGCATATTTTTATTTTCTCATTAATTTTTCAGATTTTTGTTATTTTTCAACAATTTCTTTGTTTTTAAATTTCTAATCTGAATCCATAACTTTTTATAATATTTATTTAGCTTTATAAATTTACTTAGTTCCTTATTAAATAAAAATTTCTTCTTCTAATTTTTTCTAATCCTTTTCTAATTTTAATAATTGCTTCTTATTTAAGTAATCCTCTTCATGTTTATTTATTTCTTCCAATCTAATAGGAATTGCTAATTTCTTCCTTTGTTATAATTTTAACTTTAATAATCTATTAAAAAATTACCTTTGCATCTTCATAATATTATTTGTTTAAAATTTCATCTTTCTCTTTTAATTTCTGCCTTTTCTCTTTATATTTAATTTTTAATTCATTAAGATGATGTTTTTATTCTTAATTTCTTTATTAATTTATTTCTTGTTGTTTCTACATTTCTTATAATCTTTCTTTAATCTTCATTCGCTTCTCTTAATTAAGAAACTCTTTTTATTATTCTACTTCCAACTTATATTTCTCAATACTTTCTTCCAATTAATTAGATTCATTATGTAATTATTTATTCTTTCTGTCTTCAATTTCTTTTCTTTATCTCTTTAATTCAACAACTAACTATTTAGCTTTTGCAGATTAAATTGGATCTTTCAAATTTTAAATGGCTTTCTTTTTCCTTTCTAAATATTTTCTAGCCTCTGGACTAAGAGATTTAGGTTAAGTTTCATTTTTTTTATGTTAAAAATTTTAAATAGAAGGTAAATGATCCAATAATCCTAATACAGTATCATTGTTATTTTTTAATGGATCCTCTTCTTATTAAATTCTACTAGCGTCTTAACTATAAATTTCACGATTTCCTTTTTCTGATTATTTAATTTTTTCAGTAAAATTTAAAGATTTTTATTTTGAAAGCTCAATTATTTTAAGGGTAGCAATCGCAAAAAATGACAATAATTATTATACTTTTTTTTATTTTTTTTATTTTTGTAATATATGAAATGTAGAACTTTTACTAAAAATCCTTTTAAGTCCCATCATGTCTTCTTCAGTTTTTTTTTATATTAAATCCAAAGCACTATAGAAGAATGTTTACAATCTTTTAATTCTTTCTCCCTTCTTTACTTTTAATGTTAAATAATCAGTTGACGGATTGTATATAATTTTATCTACAGATCCGAATTCATTAAGTAATTAATCAAATAAATATAACTCTAATTGATATTTGTGCCAATCCTTATCAGAATTCTATAACTATATGATTTAGACAAATTCTTTGATCATGGAAGTCTTAGATATTTGATACTAACCTTATGATTGATCTGGTAAAATGACTTTAAAAGTTAGCATATATTCAATAATTTTTTTTATTATTAAAATATAATTAAATAAGATTTCGTTTTCTAAATTGTAATAATTCTCTGAAATAAAGATTATATAATATTATTGGTTCCTAATATATTGATAATGATATTAAATTCACTGTAAAAGGTATTTTGCAGTATCTGTAAAATTCTATTTATACTTATATCTTGAAAAATCAAAACAATCACTTCTTATCTTAGTATTGTCATCAGGTATAATCTCAGGTAATCTTTATATCTATTTAATATAATTTACTTGTGCTCATCCTTATCTCTAGCTGCTTCTAATCTAACTGCTTCAATCATAAATTCTTTTGCTTCAGCTTTCTTTCCTGCATTTAATCTTCTATTAAATTCTTTATATTTCTCATCAATTTTCTTTTATAGCATTTCTTCAGGAGCTCTTTAAAAATCTACTTGATTTAATTAAAAACAAAATGAGTCCCAAGGCAATGGATCTTCTGACATAATCTCTTAAAATTTTTCAAAATTAACAGCAGGTACTTTACCTATATTAGCTATATCATTCATTAAATCTCCAAATAATCCTTATAATTTATCCTATTAAATTGATCCTTTCTTTTCTAGTTTAAATTTTGTATTTATTACCTTTATCATATGATTTAAAAATCTTCTTAAGCTTCCCTTTTTCCCATTCATTAACTAAACTCATTGGATTGTCATGAAGTCGTTACCTTAATTATTCTTTTAATTCATTTGTTGGAAATTTATTAGGATCAAAGGTTTTTTCCTTTAACTTGATTCTAGTTCTTTCTCTTTCAATCTCATCAGCTTTTTCTTATTCTCTCTTTGCTTTAATTTCATCCACTTCCTTATAAAGTATTTTCTCCCCAACAGAAAAGATTTAAGATGGAAGCAGTTTTTGTTTCTTCTATCCTTTTTTCTTAATTTTAACTTCTGCTTTGAAATCTTTGTACCATGCTTCAACCTTAATCTTTTCTTAAACAGTTATTATTGATCTATCTAATAATTGTAATTAAGGAAGAGCTGAAATCACTCTATTTCTATAATAAGGTTCCTCTGCAACTGGATTATTAAATAAATCTAAGACAATAATAAGAAAAATTTAAAACCTAAAGTTGTAAGTCCAGGAAATTCCTTTAAAATCAAAAGATTTTTTTCTAAATCTCTTAACTCATTGTTGAATAAACTCAATGTTTCTAAATGCTTCAGATTTTATAGACCCTCAAGAGTACTAATTTTATTCTTTTGTAAATATAGATGTTTTATTCTGAAATTTTATTCAATACCTTTAACACTAGTTAACTAAAATCAAATAAGGGTTATTGAGTACTTAATTTTCATTAAGCCAAACAACTTCCAGATTCATGAATTTATCAAATTGTGCCAATTCATTAAATCCTTGATTAGACATATGAACTTCTGTTGTATCTCTTGCTTGTTTATCATTTTTAATAGGAATGCATTACCAAGGAGTTCCAACTTTAACAATGGGTTAGGGAGTTGCCCTTTTTATTAAATGATTAAAAACTTAATCCATAATTTATTAATATGATAAATAGGTGTAAGTATTTATTTATTTGTTATGCAATCACATCTGGAATTGCAAAGCGAACTATTATTTGCAGAATAGGAATAAAAGATTTTTAGATATTGAGTTATCTAAATATCATAGATTATCTAAAGGTAAATTATATTCAAAAAAAATACAGTAATATATTTAAATTATAGTAATAGAAGATAAGGAAATTAAAAATTGGATTTAACAATCAACAACTAGCGAGTTAATAAAAAAACAGAAAAGACAATACACTGAAAAATAATATTTATAAAAATACAGATATTTTAATGTTTTAAGTAGGAGGAACTATTGGTGACTATGAATTCACTTGTTATTATAAGGTGGATAGATAAATGAATAGAGAAATGATATCTATTTTAATATTATAGATTAAATTTACTTATTTGTTAACACTGAATAATAACAGAACCAGAATAAAAGATATTAGGGCTGATCTAATAATATTTATATATCTATAACTGAATTGTAAATTCCATAAAGAGACAAAATGACCATTGGAAATATTTCTAAGGATTCAATATTTAATGTACTTAATTCTTAAAGCATTTATTTTGTTTCAGAAGTATTGCAAAAATAAAAACTTGCTTAACATATTTTAGATAAGTCCAAGCTCAAAATTTAATAAGTTCCTAATAATTGATACTACACAACAGTTTGAACTGGAGTTAAAAGAATTATAGTAATAAAAGCCTGTTATAATATAAACTATGGCGAAATATAATGAAAAATTTTTTAATAAATCTAATCTATATAGAATGCATATATGGCTTTGGCAAAAAAATTGAAAGAAGCAAATTAAACAAATTTCCAGCTAAAATATATCCATCATATTGAATTTGAAAATCGACCAAACGCGTAAGAATAAATTAAAATGAATACTATCATCTTTTGCCTTGTGGATTTGGATTTAATAGATTTAATCTGAAAATTAAGTGCTGTTAAAATGAGCAAGAAAAAAAGGGACCATTTTTAAGAGTTTATTATGGTTTCCAAGTAGCTATTATTGATTATGCTCAGAACATATTAGGAGTTCAAGATGCAACATCAAGGAATTAAAATAATTTTTATTAAGAATATGACTCTGAAGTTGTAGACATAAATATCTGAAAAAAATAAGAAGACAGATTAAAGAATGGAAGTATTATTTGATTAATTAAGTTAAGATTTTGAAATTACCAAAAAATTAATATCCATTTTAAGTCTGAGTTCAATATCATCCAAAACCTTTAAGCCTAATCCATTACTTACTTCAAAAAGAGAGTATAATAAATTAAATGATATAAATTACAATAACTCAATTTGAGATTCTTATTTTAAATTATTATATTTAAATAATAATTTATCATAATTGATCAAGTATTTATTACTTATAAAATCTATTGAGTAATATGAATTAATTTAGTCAATTTTCTATCTAAAATTTATAAATAAATAAAATCAGGAAGTTAACTGCTATACTAATATTTTTGATTCCTTCCATCATAAAATGTCCCAAAAATTAATTATTAAACTCGAAAATATTACAATAAAATGATTTACTGTATGTAAAAAGTTATAAATTAAAAAAGATTATAAACTATTTATTTATTATGAAATAATCATGATTACTATATAAACCATGATTTTTAATTAGAATTCAGAGATCCCATAGGATATGGTGTTTTATTATATTTCATTTTAGATAATCAACATCTCCACAACACATCATTATCAAAACTTAAGCTTCATGTGTTTTACTTTCTATCAGTTTTCTAATCTTATCAATCGGAATTTCCTCATCATACTTCATCTTGACTGCCTTTAAATTAAAATTAAATATAGACATCAAAAATTGATCTAGTAACATAATCTATCATGTTATTGACACTTAATTCACCCTTTGAATCTTTAAGCATTTCTTCCATCATAAAGCTACATCTGTTTTTTATCTCCTCATATGATAATAGGCCATTCTCATTTTCATCAATTAACTTTTGAATAACTTGATATATTACTTTCAAAATTAGTTCAATTTTATTATCATTCCCTTTAGCTCTAATTAGATTAATAGCTTTTAAAAATCCTTCAAAACCCAATGAATTCTACTTAGCAAAAAATTTAAATATTTGATCTACAACTCCTGGAGGAGCCATAGACAATTCTTCTAAGCCAGCATTAAAAGCTTCTCTAGAGATACCATTTGGTATCACTAAAAGTAATTGTTATATTTAATACTCTCTTTAGTTAATCCTGGAATTTGGGAACATTCATAACTAAGTAAAGCTTTATATCGACTAAATACTTCATAAATTTCTTATCTATCAAAACCTGTTTCTTTCATTAATTATGGTAAATTATAATGGGTCATATGCAATATATTTCTTGCTATATGGTCTGGTATGTTAGTATACTTATTTCTGTTATTATTAAATGATAATAATACTTATGTTTTTGTTTAATTGTTTATTATTTTAAGATTTCACCATATTGAGTTCTAAAATTAGGTAATTTTAAGTCTAAATCATTAAATATGGTTACATCTACTTGAAGTTCTTCTATTAGAGGGATTTAATAATCCTTCCTTTTCTAAAATTAGTTAAAAATCATTAGGATTTGGATTAAGATTCAGAAGTGTAAAATCCTTTTTCATTTCTTTATCAAGTTCAACTTTAAGAGAATCATTGTCCATTTATTTTTAAGTGACTGGTTCATCTATTAATTATTATTTCTCTTGATCATAAACATTTATACTTTTATAGAAATCTTTCATTATAATAGTATTTCTTTTCATTGTAAGTAAATCTTCATTTAAATATATTTCTTTCAATTCCATATAAGTATAAAATACATCTTTATCTAAAATAAATTTAATTAAATCATTTAAATCCTTAATTTTACTTATGATTGTAAGGATTTTTGTGTATTTTTAAGTTGTAAATTAAAAATTATGATAATTTAATATAATATTCCAAAAATCTTTATTAACAGTTTTGCTCAAAAGTAAAACATTACAATTAATAGGAATCTCTTCCATAAATTGTATTGCTTCATAATTTCCTAATGATAATTAAGTATAACTTTTTGGAACATTAAGATTCTGTTGTATCTTTTATAGTAAATTTTATCGAGCTTTATAAATAGAAGATGATTTTGCTTATAATTCTGCTCTTGTCATTTGAATAACTTTGAATTAACTAATTTCTTAAATTGATCCTTTGAAAATAAAAATAGAAGATGTATTAGTACTGAGACTAATTTCAAATGAAGTTTATCCCAATTTATATTATTATTACTTTTTAATAAAGCATTTCTCTTTCATTCTTAAAGTCGGAATTCTAAAAGAATAAACAGATCTCTCTGATTATGAGATATTTATTATTTTTGATAACTTTTCTTTAGGAGGAGTATAAAATTAGGATAATTAATGTTGTATGTATTAAGAATAGTTGGGACTTTTCGATAACATTTTTGGACTAACACCATTACTTGACATTTATAAAGCAGTATTTTTCGAGATCCTTATATTTGAAGAAGCAGGTGACATAATAGAATTCAGTTTCAACTTATTAATGTTTTTTGTTGACATATTTGATTATTTATAATATCAATTTTATATAACTTAAAATTTTATTCAATATATTTCATTTTATTTTTATCATATAATCTACTTAAAAAATAAGGTTTACATAAAATAATTTATATTGCAAAAACTCTCTACTAATATTGAGTAATTACATTTAATAATAATTAAAATAATATATTAAATCAAATAGAAAAAGTAACTACTTTATGATCGATTAAATTGTTCTTGATATAATCCAACTATTTTTTTTAATTATTTCCAACATAATTAGGTGATAAATTTGCAAAATTAAAATTTTATCATTTAACATTGCTAAGAATATGACATAATTAAATTTAAATTATTATAACTACTATGAATCAATCTATATATTACTATAGTTAATATAAGAAGAAAAGATTTTATTAGATAATTATATTATAATTTTTATAAAAAATTGAACTATTAAAAGATAATCTATGACTATTAAGTGGAAACTTTAGATTTTTTTAAAGAAAAAACTCAATATAAAATATTTATGTATGAAAAAAAAATTATTATTAGAAGGTCTTAAAAAAGAATTTAAACATTTACTTATTTTTTGTTTTGTTTATATGAGTCTAAATAACTAATTAATGTTCTATTAGATAGTGAATGTGTAAGTATAATAGAAGACAATAAAAAAAAACAATAAAAATATTGAGTATAAATAATATATTAAAAAAAGTATCCTTTATTTAAATTATATGTCTTCTTCTAGTTCATCAAGGTCACGGTCACCTAGAAAGAATAAGAAAAGAGTTTATGTGACAGGTTATTCTCTTAAAGAGGATTAACATGATATTAAAAAGTTATTCAAAAAATTTGGAAAAATTGAAGAATTTGCTTGGAAAGGAAAATATTGTTTTATTGTAGATATCATGAATTAATTATAGGAATTTAAAGATCCTGAAGATGCAGAGAAAGCTGTTAAAAAAATGAATAAGGAAGAAGTAAAAGGATCAGTGTTATAAGTTGAGATGGCTCGTGGAAATAAGCCTAGCAAAAATAATGGCTTATGTTATTCTTGCGGTCATTCAGGACATTTGTAAGTTTTATATGCTCTTAAGAATTAATTTTAGAATACGATATATTTTATATCTATTCATTTACCTATTTTATTAGTGCTAAGAATTGCAGACGTAGATCATCATCTTCAAGTTCATCTAGCTCTAGTAGGTAAAGAATAGATAATAATAAATTTTAGTGAGTCTAGAAGAAAACACAAAAAGAAACATAAAAAAAAGAAGAGTTCATCCAGTTCAGATTCCTCATCAAGTAGTTCATCTAGAGATAAGAAAAAGAAATTGAATAAGAAGCGAAAGAGTTCGAAAAGGAAATCAAAGTCCTCATCAAGAGGCTCTTCAAAAGACTCACACAATTCAGAGTCTTCCGGCTCGTACTTTTAAAGTTGAATTCTGTTTAGCGTTGAAGGAGATAAGTAAGAAAGTAACAACATCAAAGAAGATAAACAACCTAAAGATGAAGAGAATCAAGGGAAGGCAGGTGATGGTAAGTAATGAAGTACCAATGATAATAAAATATAAAATTAGTGTCCAACATATTTCTTATTTAAATTTTTGTAAACAAAAATAGTCTTATGTCATTTTTTTTATTAAAACCCTGAAAATACTTCTTTTTCATATTATTTTTGGTAATTTTATGCTGACTTAATTTAATTTTATTATTATTATTGTTATTATTATTATTATTATTATTATTATTATTATTATTATTAT